ATATTTCTCAGAGACTTTCTTCATTTCTTTTTAGTCTTAGTTCTCTCTCCTCTTCCATCTGGAGCATATCTGTATTCCTATCCTCTAAAATGCTAATTCTTTCCTCCATATTGTCAGCTCTGTTCTTTAAAGATTCCAGATTCTCCTTTATCTCTTCCATTGTGTTCTTCATCTCCATCAGCACTGATTGATTTTTATGATTTCAATCTCTTTTGTGAAGAAACTCTTAATCATTGAATTGTTTGTCTGTGTTGTCTTGTATTTTGTTGAGTGTTTTTATGATAGCTATTTTGAAATCTCTGTCGTTTAGGTTATGGATTTCTGTGTCTTCAGGGTTGGTTTCTGGGTGCTTGTCATTTTCCTTCTGGTCTGGTGATTTCATGTATCTTTGCATTGTGGTTCCTGTATTGCCTTTGTTTTTCCTCATCCTGGAAATCTCTGGTTGCAATTTCCACCCTCTGCCACTGTGTGGGGGTAAAGGGCTGTGTAATGTGAGCCCCCTGTGCTCTGTGGCGGTTTTTCGCTGTCATCTGTGGGTTGGGTCGCTTGGTCTGGTCTCGTCGGCTGAGCTGCAGGGTCCGGTTTTCAGGGAGAGGGGGGCTCTCTCTTTTGCCTGCTTGGTCCGTGGCGTGGGGGCTTTTCATTTGCCCCTCATTATCCACTCTCTGGGGTGCTCAGATGTTGATGGTACCCCATAGCAGGTTCTGAGTCCTCTGTGTGAGAGTTTCCCACTGGCTGAGAGAGTCTGAAGAGCTACGGTTTCCCCGCAGAGGGCCGCCCCTCCCCCCTCTCTGGGAGCCACGCGGACCGGGATCGCTGACCTTTTGGGGAGGGAGAGGAGTTCTCCTTACCTCTCCTCACTTCCCCCGGAAGCCCAGCTCGTTCCACTCTCAGATGTGCAGCAGTGTGGATCTTTCTGATCTTGCTTTTCACTGTCTGGAATTCCGTTGTTGGTCTGTGAATGTTCCTTTTGTTGTATCTTATCGGGGGAAGAGTTTACGGGAAAGTTCTCTCCACCATAACGCTGACGTCACTCCTTGAATTATTTTAGCGATGATTTCCTCTTCCTTTCTAATTTCTCTTTTCTTTCTTTCTGGAACTCACTGGACCTTCTGGGCTGATCCTATAATTTTTAAATACTTTCTTTCCTATTTTCTAATTGTGTGTGTGTGTGTACTGTTTTCTAGGAAATCTCTTCAGTTTTATGTTCCAGTTCTTCTATTGCCTTTTTCATTTTTACTGTGTGTGTGTATATATATATATTTTTTTTTTAGTGAGGAAGATCAGCGCTGTGCTAACATCTGCCAATCCTCCTCTTTTTTTTTTTTTTTTGTATGAGGAACACTGGCCCTGGACTAACATCTGTGCCTCATCTTCCTCTACTTTATATGGCACGCCGCCACAGCATGGCTTGCCAAGCAGTGCATCGGTGCGTGCCCAGGATCCAAACCGGTGAACCTCAGGCCACCGCAGCAGAGCACGCGCACTTAACCACTTGCGCCACCGGGCCGGCCCCCTTTACTGTATATATTCTTTTGGTGAGGAAGACTGGCCCTAAGCAAATATCTGTTGCCAATCCTCCTCTTTTTGCTGAGAAAGATTGTACCTGTGCTCATCTTCCTCTATATTTTGTATGTGGCACGCTGCCTCAGCATGGCTTGATAAGCAGTGTGAAGCTCCGTGCCCGGGGTTCCAAACCTGTGAACCCTGGGCCACCGAAGCAGAGCATGCAAACTTAACCACTATGCCACCGGGCCTGCTCCTCATTTTTACTATGTTTTTAATTTCTAATACATTTTGTTGGTGTGCCCCCTTCCCTCCTTTTTAAAAATAGCATCCTGTTCTTTGTAGATGTAATATCCTTCCTTATTTCCGAGGTGCTTAATGATAGTTTTTTAGATGTTTTCATCTCTCTGTAGCCCACTTCTTCTAATTGACTTTTCTTTTCTTATTCCATTTGGACTTTGTCTTTTGTGTAGACACTTGCTGTTGACGTTTGGTGGTCTTTGTAGTGTGATGCTCATATTTAACAGCAGACACAAAAAAGCGGTTATACTCTCTCTAGGTATGGGTGGGCTTGGTAAGAGTAGTGACTCAGGGTGACCTGGCTAGGTTGTTTCCTTGGGGAATACCTGATGTTGAAATGTGGGTCTTTTCTCTTGGGCTAGTCATTGCCAGAGAAGAATCTGCAGATTCCTGCCTGGAGAGGGTAAGCCTGGATTCCAGTGTTCTGGAAACTGAGTGGAGGAAGAGAGCGGAGAGTCTTGCCAACTTATCGTATAGATGGACTTTCAGTTAATTCTCCTGTTTTCAGTGTATTATCCTTTGCTCAGTGTGCTTGGTCTCCCCTAAATTAGAGGTAGTCTGTTTCACCTCCTTTAATGAGTAACCCTCCAGCCTCTGGACTTTTGGTAGTAGCCCTCTTTTCAGCTTGACCTTGTTCTCATTTCCAGAAGTACCTGATCTACCAGGGTGCCTGGAGTGCAGTTCTGTAGATGCTTCTTAGCTCTCCCCACTATTGATGGTAGAGTGGATAGTGATGATGGTAAGGGTTGCATTTTTTAAATTGGGCAAACAGGGAGGGCTCCCTCAGAAACGATATTTGAGGAAGGACCCAGAAGAGAAAACAACTCCACTTCATAATTTCATTCATTCTGTTTTCTCCCTATTTTTCACTCTGTTTGTGTTTCTTATTTCTTAATTTTTCTTGTGCCTTTATAATTTCTTTCTATTCCTACAAGTTTTCCTTTTACTCTTTGGTAAAAGAATTACACTAGCAATACATGAGTACATTCTTGTTGTAAAAATTCAAATGCTAGAAAGTCGAAGTCCTACTTGACTAGAATCCTGTTCTTCATCTGTCCCTGTTTAGTGTATATCTTCCCAGGTTTTTACCTGTACACATTTCATATCTATGTATCTAGACCCAGTTTTCTGTGTGTTTCTGATTGTGTGTGCTGCCGTGTGGTTGTACTGCACGCCTTGCTTTGCAGCTTTACTTGTTATGTATTGAACATGTATAAATATTGACATATATCGGTCTTTAAACTGCTGCCTAGTATTTCGTTGGCTACCCCCTAATTTATTTACTCATTCCTTCATTGATGACTATTAGGAGATTTCCAGTTTTTCACTTTTGCAAACAGTGCCGCAGTGAAAATTCTTGTATGTGCCTCTGTGTATACGTGTGTGAGTATTTCTTGAGGGTAGATGATAAAAAGAGAGTTACTGTGCTGAAGCACATGCATATTTTGAATTTTCGTAAATATGGCTATATTGCCCTTTTGGAAAGTCAGTACTAATTAGCACTGTCATCAACAGTATCATCAATAGCATTTCCTCACACTCATATTTTTATTTTTTAATTGAATGGGGCAAAAAAATTGAAATTCATTTCAACTTGCTTTTCTTTGTTTCTGATTCTTCGATTGTTTCTGAAGTGGGACATCTTCCTATATGTTTGTCACTTGATGTTTTTTCTTTGACTTGCTTGTTCATACCATTTGCTTATTTTTCTGTTTTGATATTTGTTGATTTCTAAATAAATTGGTAGGAACTGTGTTTGTATTCTGCATGTTTTTCTATCGCCTGCCATATAGTTTGGAAACATTTTCACCCAGTCTTGCTTACCTTTAACTTACGTGTGGTATCTTTTGTTGCATAGAAGTTAAAGTTTTTGATTTAGTCAAATTATTAATTCATTTTAGACTTTTGGGTTTATTCTCTTTTGAAATAGAAACTTCTATGGATCTGTTTTATAGATCATGTCCATCTGTTATTTGTAGCTTTCAGCTAATTTCGATTAAGAAAAATATGCAACTAGTGGTGGCTTAAATAAGTAGCCACCATTGGCTGTTTTCCTCAAATAATCAAAAGTCTGGGGGTTGGGAGCTATTTGCAGTGGTTCTCTTGCTTTTTCTCTTGTGGTTATAAGGTGACTGCCATACTTTTCAGCAACACAGCTGCATTCAAAGCAGGAAAAAGGGGAAAAGGGATGAGGTTTTTATTAGGAAAGCAAAAGCATTTGCAGAAGCCCTGCAGTTGACTTCTGCTTGTGTTTCATTGGCAACCCTAACTGTAAGGGAGTCTGGGCAAGCTTTCCTTGTCTTTTTGGTAAAGATGAGCAAGGGAGAAAAGGAAAGGATAGGGAATAGTGTTTGGTTTTCCCACCAGTGATGTCTGCCACAACCCACAAACTTAATTTATGTAGAAACTGAGATGTTATTGATTGAAATTAAATTCTAATTTTAGTTCCTTAATGTTTTATATGTTACGATTATTTTAGGACTCCAGTTCTGTTGTAGAATGGACCCAGGCCCCAAAAGAAAGAGTTCATCGAGGATTGGAACATCTGAACAGTTACGAAGCAGAGTGGGACATGGTTAATACAGTTTCATTTAAAAAGAAACTACATACCAATGGAGGTATGAATTCAATCTTTGGAATCTTAAACTGATTTGCTACAATATAATATAAACAAAAGCGCAAAGAAAATTCTTTAATGTTCCTTAGAGGAAGGATGATTTGGTGCTTTGATTAATATGTGTAATTCTCATTTTAGTTATGTATATTTTTTAGTATATTTTCATTTTTCTTTGTTTTGTTGTGACTTCATAAAAAAGGCTTTAAAAAGACTTGTTCTGTTTGGTAGTTATTAATAGTAGAAAATAGAAATTTTCTATTGCTTTGGCTGTCTCATGCACATTTTTCTTAAACTAGTTGGGTAAAAAACATCATGTTATTTCATCCTAAAGCACTAGGGGGAGTTAGAGTATACCACTAACCCATACTGTTGTAATTTCAGTAGTTACCTGGATCCTCATAGCTCATTGCAGTCTCTCCTTTATGTATGTTTAGTGACTATTCTCTTTTATATATCTTATATATATGTTTAAATCTATGTTTGCTATGTGGTGAGTATCTACATGTAGATAACAAAAAAGAGCCAAGCTAACGGCCTGATAGAATACATATACTACGCCAAATATGATTTAGCTAGCCAGTCTGTGAGGTGGCCAGCCTAGTTGTGATCTCTTTTAAAAATATTAAACACTTGCATAAGTTAAAATGTTTTTTGTGAATTGATTCCTTTGTGTTTTATAATTAAAAGGATATTTTATCTCTTAATGATTTTGGTCTGAATTTAGAATTTATCCACATTTACCAGACTCAAAAAGGCTGGTGAGAATTTACTGGAATATGTGTTGCTACATTTATATAGCATTGTTACTAAGTAAAATTGGTTTTCATGTATGCCCTGGGGAATCATTCTCATATACAGTAGTTTTGCTTTGTACTGTATCATTCTTGGAAACATTGACAGTTGTTAAGAAGTAAATAGTAATTCACAAGCTTTTAATAACAATCAGCTCATGCATGTATGTGTGTCTCTTTTTTTTGGCATTCCCTTTCTACTGAAGGGAAGTTTCTTAGCAGAACAATGCAAAGTATTAAGGAAGGATAAAACCACAGGATTTTAGTATATTTGGCATGTGAGGGATTTTTAACTTCTCTAGACTAGATCTTCAGGATTTGTTTTATGTGAATTGCTGTTTTTTGTTTGTTGTTGCCTAATATTGTTAAATCCTTGAAAATGAAGAAGACAAGCCACAGGAATGAGCAAAAGTGAATCAATGAGTGACTTTTCAGAATTTCATAAAAGAAAGATGCATTACATATATATGAGAAAAGCATAATCTGACAATGAAGATCTTTTTATTTTTTTTATTTATTTGATTTTTTTTAAGATTTTTTGTTGATTGCAGTAACATTGGTTTATAATGTTGTATAAATTTCAGGTGTACATCATTATACTTCTATTTGTGCATGGATTACATCATGTTCTCACATTCACCACCCAAATACTAATTACGATCCATCACCAGACACATGTGCCTAATCATCCCTTTTGCCCTCCTCCTTTCCCTCTTCCCCTCTGGTAACCACCAATCCAATATCTGTCTCTATGTTTTTGTTTGTTGCTGTTATTATCTACTACTTAATGAGTGAGATCATACAGTATTTGACCTTCTCCCTCTGACTTATTTCACTTTGCATAATATCCTCAATGTCCATCCATGTTGTCACAAATGGCTGGATTTCATCGTTTCTTGTGGCTGAGTAGTATTCCATTGTGTATATATACCACATCTTTTTTATCCATTTATCCCTTGATAGGCACTTAGGTTGCTTCCAAGTCTTGGCTATTGTGAATAACGCTGCAATGAACACAGGGGTGCATGTATCTTTACGCATTGGTGTTTTCAAGTTCTTTGGATAAATACCCAGCAGTGGAATAGCTGGATCGTATGGTAATTCTATCCTTAATTTTTTAAGGAATTAAAGATCTTTTTAGATTAGTGATTTTTAACTTTAGCTGCACATTGAAATCACCTGGGGAGGTTAGGCTTTTTTAAAAAATACCAATGCCTGGTTTTATCCAGCAAAGTAAATCAGACTCTGGAGGTGGAGCCTGGGCATTTGTAGTTTTCAAAAGTTCTCCTGGTGATTTTTTTTTTTTTTCCCCCCAAAGCCCCAGTAGATAGTTGTATGTCATAGTTGCACAGCCTTCTAGTTGCTGTATGTGGGACGCGGCCTCAGCATGGCCAGAGTAGCAGTGTGTCGGTGTGCACCCGGGATCCGAACCCGGGCCGCCAGCAGCGAAGTGCACGCACCCAACCGCTAAGCCATGGGGCCGGCCCATCTTCTGGTGATTTTAGTGTGCAGAGTTGAGAACCTCTGTGTAGCTTAGCAAAAAATGACAGATGTAATTACTGCTTATGTAGCTTGGCCATGCACTGTGACTTATAAAGTAAAGAGCCTTTATTTAGCAATTATTAAAAGTTAAGGAGACATTTTCTTTTTTCTTTTCTTTTTCCATTCAGTATTTTAAAAATGTTATGATTGTGCACAACTGTAAGAAATACATTGAACAGTATGGCCCAGTGTGCATACACATGCACATATTTAACAGAACAAGGAGTTATGAAGTGCAGTACATTCTGTTCCATGCCATCCCATCTTATCCTAGACTGTCTATCTCATCCACTTATTTTTCATCAAAACTCCTTCCTAAAGGAGGCATTTTCTAAGCTTGATGTTTCAGAATTCAAAATTATGCCATTATGAAACATTTTTTATATTTTTAGAAAGCATTTTTTTCAAATAGAATTTTTACTTATTTAGTTTATTATAACCTTCACATTTTTTACTTTTTTACTTTTATTTGTGATTCACAAAGGAAACTTGGGATAGACCTTTAAAAAAATTGACTATCAAAGACTTGCATAAGTTTATATTTCTTACGAGTTTCTCCTGCTAAGTCTTTGTTTTCATATACCAGAGCAAATGTTTTGAAAATGTGTCTTTCCAGAACAACAGACTGCCATCATGTTCTGGAAACCTATCCAAATAAAGTGTCAAGTCTGTGATGTTATTAAACGACATATGGAGACTTATTGAACTGTTTTGTTTTGCTCTTCTGCTGTTGGGTTCAGTTTTCCCATGTCAGTGTGTTGGAGATATTTTTTACATGTATTTGGTAATATAGTAAGTTCATCGGAACTAATTGCCTTTCTTTAAGGAGAAAGAAGGAAATTTTGAGTTGATTCTTGGATTCTGTTAGTTTTCGTTTATAATCATTTCTATTTGTGGTTAGCTATTGATGGTAGACTGAATTGCAGATTACTTTTATGTTGAGTTGGTACTAGGTTACTCACTGCTTCCACACTTCTTTGAGTACCTGCTGTGTGCTGGTCACTTCTCTAGGCACTGGGGATATAGTTTTGAGCAAAATGAAGTTCCTTTTGTCATGAAGCTTATATTCTAGTAAAGGGACTTCTAGAATTGACTTGTGATATTTCTCTCATTGTTTATCAGAGCCTTAAGTGAGGAAATGCGTGAGGCATTTCCTCTTGTATTTAGTATGTAATGTGTGTCTCTTCCGTCAACAAGTGAAAGTCAATGAAAATTTTTACTTTTGAATATACACAAACTCTGGATAATTCATATAGCCTACATGTATTATTTAATATTCTCCATATAATTTTATTGCATTAATTTGGATTAAATACTGTTTGTATAATTGAAGAATTTAATTAAAAAATCTTTATATCTAGTTTTTCTTTACTGTTTTGCTGTGAAAATGTTTTTGGTCTTTGCAAATAATTTAGTAGTATGTGTCCTTTCTAGGTAATCCAAGTACATTCACACTTACATGATTCGTGAAGATGTTGGAATTCTAGAATTGTTCTCACTTTGATATTAGCTTGTAGTAGTGTTATGAGGTCTATAATATAAATTTCAGTGAAACATGATGTATAGTAGTCAAGTGGGCACATGGCAGTTAATCCAGTACCAGCCTTAGATATGAGTTTACCATCTGAACTGTTCTGGAAGCTAGGCAGGTCACTGTATAGATAAGTTACTTTAGCCTTTCTGAACTTCCTTTGAAATGATACTTGTTAAAGCATCCATGAAATAATGATGGTGCCGGCATTCCTTGCAGGTAGAGGTTTCTGTAAGTTGTAGATCTCTCTGTGTCAGTTTAAGAGATCTTGTTGGAGGTAATGGAGCTACAGTGTTCCTGACTATGTAGGAAGGTGACGTACATGCAGGTCAACACCGACTGATCTACCTTTTGATCAGGTTTTGTAAGCAGATATCTTCTATGTAGTTTATCTTTGCAGAATTGATAGTGTGGGGTGGAATTAATGAAGAGCTCGAATAACAGGATACTAGGACGCTTTTTAGGAAATAACGTTAGAGAAAAGGTTTTTTAAAATTTAAGAGACATGATATACATATGTCTGAGTTAAAATGTTAAAATAAAATGCCATTTTAACATTAGAAATTAATTAAAGTGTTAGAAGAAAGATAACATTTTTCCTTTATTCTTTACATTTTTATTTAAATAGACAATCTTTAAGTTGCTTCTTATCAATTATGATGTTCTTCACAAACCTAGGATTTTCAGCTTCTATAAACAGCCCACAGACTCAGAAAATGCTTTATTTTACATAACTGTAGTTTGTTTTGAACTGAGGTCTTAATTTAGTAGAAGGTAGATTTAGCAGAAAGATTGAATGTATTCATTTTCTTTGAAGCATTCACAACTTAATCTTTTCATCCTCAGTATCCCCCTATTCTTTGGGTTTTTGCAAATAAAATGTCTGTATATTCACTGCAATGTTATTTTTTATACTAGTATACTTAGCTTCACTGAGTGCAGTCTAGTAAAATTAATTGCAAAAGGAAGTGAGGAAATAAAGCATTTCTTTTTCTCCTTTTTTTAAAAATAACTCTCTTTTAAATAGCATCATGCCATTTGTATTTGGAGAAGATTAACATTTGTTGAGTATTTGGTGTATACTTGGTACTATACTAGTTACTTGGCTAGTATTATCTCTTTTAATTCTTAGAATAACATTGGGAGGTAAGTATAATTATCTCTGTTTTACAGATGAAGAAACTGAGGCTCAGGGAAATTCAGTTATTTCCCCCAGATCATTCAGTTAGTAAGATGATGGTGTTGCACTTCAAATCCAGCCTGCCTGCTTCCAAAGCTGTGGTGATTTTGGGGCAAAGCTTGTATTTTAAATAGGGATAACATTTTTCAATTTGTATGCAGTGGATAATTATTTTAAAAACTATTCTTTTAAGAAAATGTGTGTTGCCATGTCTGATACAAGTGGAAGCCATAGTAATATGCATGTTATAGTCATTCCTTAGGTTCAACAAATTTCTGTTAGGCAGTCAGTGCTTTTTAAAAAGGTGAACAAAAATATTTTGCCCCACTTTCTTGTTTTTAAGATGCTCCAAGTCATAGAAATGGGAAAAGCAAATGGTCATTCCTATTCAGTTTGACAGACCTGAAATCAGTCAAGCAAAACAAAGAGGGTATGGGCTGGTCGTATTTGGTATTCCGTCTGAAGGATGATGTCGTGCTCCCTGCGCTGCACTTCCATCAAGGAGATAGCAAACTGCTGATTGATGCTCTTGAAAAATACGTGGTCTTGTGTGAGTAAGTATCACATTGTCTTCCACTTCGTGAAATTGGATTGTTGTATTGGTCCCAAGGCAAACTATTTTTACTTGTCATTGGGTATCAGTGACCTATATGCATGTCAGGGCACAAGCAGCTATGTTTTTTCTGGAATATTGACTGCTTTGGATGAATGACTGAATAAAATTTTGCCGTTTTAGTTATTTGGATCTGCAACTTATCACCTTATTACTGTTTTAAAGAAAAGAGTGGTCTGATATTTTTTATACACATTTAAATGAATGGTGCATCAGCAACTTATGGATTATATATTTACTGAATTTACCTTTTATTGTGTAGTTTCTGTTAAATATAGAGTTTTATTTGTAGTGTTGCAAATTTAAGTCAGGCCTAAGCCCTTTATAAAATTACTCTAAGTGTGGAAGATAGGGCTTTCTCATTTTCCAGAAATCTTATGTCTTACATTTCTTTACCTGTGTGCATTGGTACACACGTTTTTTCTTGCTTTCACTCTCAGCAGATATGTTTTGGATGTGTATTACGTTCTGGGCACTATGCTTGCTATGTAGTCGTGAACAAAATGGCATGTTGCTGTGTACCTGAGAGTTTATGGTCTTGTGAAGGATGCCGGCCAGTAAATGGCAATAAAACTCAAGAACTAAGATGAAGAAAGTACAAGGTGCTTTGGGAGCTCCCAGGAAGGGAAGAAGAATATCTCATTCAGACTGGGGTTGGGGAGGGGTAAGGGATGACTTTCTGGAGGAAGTAAAATCTAAGTTGAGACCTGACAAATGAGTGAACATTAGTGTGAAACAGAAGGAGAAATTTAGAGGGAGAGATGTTTTAAGTAAAGGGAAGAATACAAAACATGGTATAATCACAGAACAGAGTAGTTCACTATCACAGGTCTGCATAGTGGGAGAGGAGAGGGTGCCAGATTTAAAGATGAGGACAGAGGTGAGTAAGGGCCAGAGCATGAAGGATCTTGTAAATCACGTTAGCAGGTTGTTCCACTCATCTAGATGAGATTTTAGTGGCATGAACTAAGAGAGTGACAGCAAAGATAGAAGTATTGGAGGAATATTTAGGGTTAGAGTTTGTGATTGATTGGCTATGTGGGTGAGAAGAAGGGAGAAGTTGAGATTTTTGAGCTTGGGGAACTATCGGGATGATTGTTAACTTCATTAATAAAGTCTTTACTTTATAATAGAGTAACATCATGCCTAAATTTCATTATATAAAGCTAGGAGTGATCCAGAAGTTGAAGGATTTTGATTATTTGTTTTCTGCCATGGAATTCTGCCCCCTACCATGTTGACCACCTCTAGCTGGCACTAGGCATGCTGATCAGTACCAGTAACCATAAGAAAGTCAGGCTTAGTTGGTAGTATGTGGGTCTTGGATCTTGAAGTGAGAATCTGTGAATAGGCTACCACCCCCGGGAGGTTAAGTAGGTTTCAGGAGGCGCAGTGTTATGATCGGGGCAGAAGGTTTTGCTGTTGAATAGCAGGTGTTAAAGACATGGGAGTTTTAGCGCCACGGCAAGTTCAGTGTCAAGCAGTGCAGTGATGTAACTGTTGCGAAAGCACTCGTTTGAGACTGTTGATTAAAGCGTAGTATCCAGGATGAAGTGGTATTACCCCTCTACTCTTGACTGGTAAGATCATGTTTTGGAGAACTAGGCTTAATTTTAAGCACTGCATTTTAAGTGTGTGAGACGAACTATACTACATGGAAAAGATGACTAGTGTAATGAGAGGGATAAAAATGGTATCATGAACAACATTAGAAGGATGTGGGGATTTAACTTGAAGAAGAGGAGTTTAGGTGCAACATTAAATAAAATCCAAACTTCATTAAATAAAATCCAAACTTCTCCCTGTGGCCAGTGAGGGCCTGCCCTGTCTTAGCTCTGTTTGTCTCTTAAACCTCATCTCATGCCTTTCTCTTCTATATTTGAGGCACATGGTTTTCTTTCAGGTCCTGAAATGCCCTAAACTCTTTCTTGTCTTAGGGTCCTATATGTATGCTGTTCCTTTGGCTTGGAATATTCTTCTCCCTTTCTGATCCCTGAGGTCTCAGTTTAATGTCACTTCCTTGGAGGGGCTTTTCTAGATCCCCCCCTCTCCCATTTAGTGTAGATTTCCACCTCCATTCCTTTTCGCTGTCTTGTTCCCTTGTTTGCTTCCTTCATGGCTCTTGACAGAGTCCACTAATGTTGTCTGTTGACTTCTTTTATGTTCTGCTCTAAAATATAAGCCCATAAGGCAGGGGTTACATCTGTCTTGTTTACATTTCCTCCTAAGTTCCTCGCCACTGTTCTGGCACATATTTGTGCAGTAAATCTTAGTTGAATGAATAAATGGCATGGTACTTATCAATTCTACAAATAATTTTGAAAGGATTGTTATAAGAAGTAAATTGTAGATTTGTTTTGCATGATTCCAAAGAGAAATTAGAAGGAAACAGGTTTTAGCTCAAGAGGTAGAGAGTTTTCTATCCTGGATGGGTTCTAGAATAGACTCAACAGTCACTTAGGTGTCTGTAAGGGAATGTGTACTTTGAACGTGTGTTGGTGATGTTTTAATGAGGGTTGTGAGTGAAACTTTGTTTCCTGTTCTATGTTTGTAAACAAGTGAGAAGTAAATATAAGAATCAGACAGATGGTGATAAAAATATCATTATTGGTGAAGCTTAGATATGCAGCATCATGATTCACTCCAAATTAGTTTTGAATTCACCCAATTATCACTTTTAGATAATCACAGGTCTCCCTAGTGAGGACAGACCACTTATGATGTGAATGAGAGCAGACTAGAAACCACCTTCTCTGTTGGCAGGCAGATCCTAGAGAAAGAGAGAGCCTGGAAGGGGTTATGCCAAGTATGCACCTTACTCTTTCCTGATCTCAACAATCACATATGTCCCTGTGAAAAAAGAGAGTTTCTTTAGTAGAAGTACGTATTTCCTTTTGGAAACATGAAGCCTTGGGAATGGTGTTCCTCCATATATCTATATTTTCTCATTCAACACGAGTTTTTCATTTTGTTTTTTTTTTTTTTTTGAGCACCTGCTATGTCCCACACTCGGTACTAAGTGCTAGAAAGGGAGCAGTAATCAAAAAAGATATGGCCCCTGCCTTAAAGGAGTTTGTACTATTGTGGGAGAGACACACATTGCTTATATAAATAAATGTAAATTTTCAGCTGTAGTAAGTGCTCTGGCTCCATGGCTTAGCGGTTAAGTGCATGTGCTCCGATACTGGCAGCCCGGGTTCGGATCCCAGGTGTGTACCGACGCACCGCTTCTCCAGCCATGCTGAGGCCGCGTCCCACATACAGCAACTAGAAGGCTGTGCAACTGTGACATACAACTATCTACTGGGGCTTTGGGGAAGGAAAAAAAGAGGAGGATTGGCAATAGATGTTAGCTCAGAGCTGGTCTTCCTCAGCAAAAAGAGGAGGATTAGCATGGATGTTAGCTCAGGGCTGATCTTCCTCACAAAAAATAAATAAAACTGTAAAAAAAAGAAAAAGATATAGCACTATGAGAGCACATAATAGGGTAATATGTAAGTTTTTTGTGTGTCAGTAGTAATCGAAGCTCTGGGAGAGAATGAGATTAACTAAGGGGAGGATAAAATGGGACAGGACATGAGCATAAGTGATTAATTGCAACCTTTAATGACCCAGTCAAAGAGAAAAACCTGGTGGAGGAGACTTTCCCTACACTTTGTTCTCTTCTCTCTTTCCATTGGGCTTTTATCATTAAGTTTATGGTCAAGTTTGTGCCTGTTCTTCCGGGAAGAGATAGCTGTCTAAAAGTGAGTCCTTCAAAAGCTACACCCCTAGTACTAGCCACTTCTCTGTTGTGTATTCTCCTGTGACACTGTTAGTGAACCAAGTGGGCTTGCCTCCTGGTGAGTTAAATAAGACTCTATGCCGTGGAAGTTGTCTCACAAAGTAAAGTGTATTTGTAGCAAATAGGAGGCCATGAGGAATCATTTCCAAATTCATGGCATCCTCGAACAAAAGAAAGCAGGAACTTTTATTTTGGATGGGGAATGAATATTCAGAAGGGAGAGGCGGGTTTTCACTTGCGCAGGCTCAGTTGGAAAACATGCTTCCACAAAATGAGGCCTAATCTCCTCCTGGAGAGATCTTTTCATTAAAGGTAAGGCAAAGGTCGTGGGTGTAGCTCTTGTGGTCAGGCTTGGTCAGTTTCAGGATGGTTGGTGGTTACACCTCCTTAACATACAAAAGGAAAAAACAACTTGGGAAAACAGTTAATTGCTTCCAAACCCACCCTTGAGTTTCTCAGGTGCCTAGTTAGTGACAACACTGGGGGCTAGTTTATTCTTTGCCCCCTGAATGGTCTGAAATGTGTAAGAATAGTATGTCAAATATTTTATCTCCAAGGCCCGCCTGTACCCTAGGCTGAAAATAAGCACTCTTTATTCTCTTTCTCATTATAAATTATGCCCAATTACGTTACGTCATATAGCTCACCGGAGATTATATGTTGAGTCCAAGTAGTAGAATGTAGATACTCCAAATAAACAATCACCAATATAAAAAAAGTCCCAAATTTGTATAAGCCATCTCCCATTATCAGATTCTTAGGGAGATATTGAATCTTTATGTTCATCAGTTATGATCCAAATACATGAAATTCCCGATACATTAAAGCCCAAAGAAATGAAAATTCCCAAATAGCTCCAGTTTTTTACTCTACTAGGTGTCAGTCGTATAAATATAAATTATATAACTGGGAATAATATATATATATATATAGTTTTGTTGTAAATATTCTGTACCTTTTTATTTTTTATTAACCTTTTTTTATTGATATTCTTAGCAATGATATTTTTATTTATTTTTTTAGTTTTCCATGTTGGTCATTCTCAGTAGCAATGTAAAATAGTTATTGCTACATCTCAGCATATAACCATTCTTCTACTGTTATAGTTTCTGAAGTTATCCTGAGATCTTTGGGAGAGCTCACTCTAAAGCCTGGGAAGTACTTCGGAATTTTCAGTAGATATGCTTCTGGAGTTTTCTATAGAAAACTGTGGCTTTCTTTAAGCCCTTTAGTAGGCTCTAATAGAATTGCTGATGTTAGCATCGTTAAAAGTTCTATCTTACTGCTACAATGAGTTTGAAAGTCTTGAATACTGTTGTCATGATGTTACCGCCCAAGGTGGGGCCTTCTGCTCGCCGCAAGACATGCCAATAGTCAAGAGGCAAGGTGGTGGGAGAAAAAGGACTTTTTTTATTACACCTTGCTAGCAAGAGGGAAGATGACTGACTAATGTCCAAAAGAACCATCTTAAGGGGGGACGAAATCTTCCAGCAGTTATATAGGCCATTGGGTTATTGGGGAGGGGGTTAGGAATGTTGACCTTCTGGTGTTACAAACTGGGAGTGCCACACCAGATCTTTCAGTTTTCGCTGATGATGTTTATTACATAGATTCTCTGTTCGAGGGTCATCACATTCCTAAGGAACTCAAAAAACCAAAGTTATTGTCTTATCGCAGCTGGGAGGTACATGCATAAGCAGGGGTTGTGAAATCTACAGAGCAGTTAGATCTCTTGGAGGGTGCATATGCAGTTGGGTTAGTTTGTCAGAGGTCGGTCAAAGTTACAATAGAGTTTTTCTTTTCTACAATATGGCTTCCCCTATGTCAACCTTGTCTTGAGCCGGTATCAACGAGAGATCAAATTCTCAGAATCCATAATATTCCCAAAATACATAAATATAATGTTTATGAATACATAATATTTAGTCTTCCCAGATTAAATCAGTGTGGTAACCTGGCAGGTGGAAACATAACGATATTCTGGAGTGCCAGCCGTCCTTGTGGTGAGCTCTGCAGTTGCTTAGCAATGTACTGCTTATCCTTTGACTGATGTAGTTTTAAAATGTGTTGTTGATTTCTTTAGGGGCAACCTAGTCTTACGTTTTTTTTAATCTCTCCTGCTCTTAGAGCTTTCCCCAGCCACTCATCACAGAGCGTTGGCAATAAAAAGTGAAATTCTTCCTTTTTAAGAAAATGTCTATGGTTGCTTGTTGGTTGGACAGTTTTTTCTTCTTTCCATCTCCAGTTCAGTGACTACAGTTTCAGAGCTGGAGCTGCATGTTTGTCCTGCTTCTACATGCATAGCCAATATTTTGAGTTTCATGACCATTTTTTCATTTGGATTTTAAAGAAATAATTTGACTTAGTTGATTGTTAGAAACAAAATAATAACCGCAGTGCCAGCAGCACTGTGCTAGGAAAAAATATGTTCCTATGTTAGTTAGTTCTCTTTTTCTGCTACTACATTTAAAAGTTGACCTATCATTAAAAAATGCCCCGTGAGAACCGATAGGTCTTCATATTAAGCATGACCCCAAAAAGTGTTCAGAAAAATGGTGTTTAATGAAAATTGAACATTTTAGAAGTTATTATATTTTTCCTAGTTCAGATGACTCCACCTCAGCTTCTTGTAAACAGCCAAGGGGCTTATTAAGCCTCCGTTGTCTCTGAAGATGGAGTGCTATTTCTGACTGCGTGAGAGTAGGATCCCATTTTGGATTTCATATCCTCCCTAGCATTGCCGTTACATCCTGTAATGTTAGAATTAAGAAGAGATAACCATTATTAAAGTTCTTATCTCAAACATTTATAATAAACTAGAAGTAGATAGCAGCAAAATAACACATCTAATTTTTATTTTAAACACAGAAAAGTTGTGAATTTCTTAAGGCTGACTTACTAAGTTATAAAACTTAATGAACAGAAAAAAGACTGAATAATTCATCTGATTACTTCGAATTAGACAGATGGCTATTTGGAAAGCATTTTATTTATTTTATAGTTATTAAGAAATGGGGAGAAAAACCGCTTCCAGAGCTTAATAAGGAAGAACTAAAAACATACTGTTACCTGAACTGTACATTATAACCTTGTTAAATATGTTCGTGTGTGTTTATAATTATGGTTAGCAAAATTAATGATCTTTAACAAATAATCTATTGTATCTTGTATTTTTTAACATCTTATATTACAGTACTACCAAGCTGTGGAATGATGTTGTTGGAAACCATTTCAAAACAGGATATTTTCCTGTGGTGTACATATTATATATCCTGATGAATTCTAAAGTGTGGTTTGACTTTAATTTTTATAATAAAGGCAGATATATTTATAAGGTTTTTCTGTTATAATTCTAAACAATAATTTGGGTTCATTACAATTTAGTCCTCTTGGTTTTACCTAGAATAAAAATATATTTCAACCCCTTTATATTTGTTAATTTAGTGTTTCCTGTTTCATGTAGTTTTGGAACTCATTTAAGATAGTTACTAAGTACTTGCTAATTTTGTATGAATAGGAAACAGTTCTAGAACTGGACTTTTAAGGGTTTTTGTTGTGGTAGTGGTTAAGGAAAAGTAACTACTTGTTAGTAATTATTCAGGTAGTGATTGGTGGAGTGTGCTAGTATTTTCTACAAATCCCTTTTTTTAATTACAGATCTCCACAAGATAAAAGAACACTTCTTGCGAATTGTCAGAGTAAGAGTCTTTCGCAGTCTTTTGAAAATCTTCTTGATGAACCAGCATATGGTTTAATACAAGTATGTTTCTTAACCTCTATCTTGTATTAATCTGTTAATTTGATTCCATTATTTTATGTACCTCGTACCTCTCACTTTCTCAGAGATTATACAGAATGAGGCAAGTGTCTCTGTGTGTATAAACTTTATGGATCTAGTCTCTGTAATTTTATGGAGATAGTGTTTCATTATTATTAGTAAGACTCAGAAGCTTCTTGGTTCTTAGTTACTCTTAAGACAGTTTTTTCCTTTATCACAATACTGAAATTGGACATCAGTAGATTTTTATCATCATAGCTTTCATTGAGTAGGTGAAAGGTCACTGTGTAAGCGACTTTGGATTCATTAAGGATAAACTTAGGCAAAAATCTGGTTTGAATTTTTATTTATTTTTATTTTTTTTTTTTTTAAATATTAGTATAGTTTTATTTCTTTTTTTTTTATAATTTTATTTATTTATTTATTTTTCCCCCAAAGCTCCAGTAGATAGCTGTATGTCATAGTTGCACATTCTTCTAGTTGCTGTATGTGGGACGCAGCCTCAGCATGGCCAGAGAAGCAGTGCGTCGGTGCGCGCCCGGGATCCGAACCCGGGCCGCCAGCATCACAGCGCACGCGCTTAACCACCAAGCCATGGGGCCGGCCTGAATTTTTATTTTCCATTTAAGTAGGTTCATTTGGGGTCATGATAATCTAATTCTCCTTAAAGTATTTGAGTATATTCTTGCATTTGGCTAAACATGTGCACTTAACACAGGTAGAAATAAAATTAATTTATTTTACACTCAGATTTCTATGTAAACTAATGAAATGATTGTCTATTCGTTCATTTATTCACATATTCCTTCAGCTGATGTTTGAGTGCTTACTCTGTCCCAGGTGCTCTCTTCTTGGTTCTAAAGATAAACAAGATAAAGAGGGAACTTTTTAGGAAGGAGGACAAGAGAGCTAAACACTGATTAAAATAAAAAGTGAGGGAACAGTTTTTCTTATTGTGAAAATAATCGTTTTAAAGATAGACCTTTAAGAAGTAAATATTTTTGCTAAATGTGAATAAGCAGGCAGTTTTGTAGCCGGAAAAACCGGGGAATCTGTCATCGTAGCCGAATCAATGAACACAATGACCAAGGATCGAGAAAAAGAAAAATGGTTTAATTTTGCAATGAGGCTGTGGTGGGCTCGTGCCCCAAAATCCACAGTCCTCCTGAGGCATTAGGAGTTGGGGCTTTTAAAGGAAAGTCTGTGGGAAAGAATGTACTGTCTAACCATTTGTTGGGGAAGTATGCTGTGGGGGTTCCAGACCTCTGGCGCCAGGCCAGCTGTCATCTCTATCTCCAGCAGGAGATGTAGGGCTCCATCAATCCATCTTCTCGAATCCCCTGAAATTTGGCCTTGGGGAGTGGAGGGCAACTGCTGCCAAGTAACAATTACAGTTTACAAGGTTTTAGGTGGGGGAGGGGGAGCTGTGGCTTTGCAGTTCGGAGTCCCCCCATCAGCCTGCGTTTAGCTGAGTTAGGGAAGCTGCAGGTGTCCTCTGTTTTGTCTGTCCCTGTGATAAATGCTGGATTTGGCGCCAGGAACCGGGAGTTGGGGAGCTTCAGCTTCTTGGTAATTTTGAGATAGCAGTCTCCCTGTAACAAACCTCAAGAACTGGTAATTAGCCAGAGTTTCAGTTTGTAGCCACCTAGGCTTTTAACAATTTATTACCTCCACTTGGCCTTGTGGAATTCAGGGACACAAAGGATAAAACAACCAATATCTGCATGTGAATGTGACTTAGAGAAACAGGGAAGGGGGAATGAGTGCTTTTTGGTTTAATCCCATATATGCTGGGTTTAATGTAGGGGAACTGATATCAGGGCCGGCATCAGTTTGAGCTTTAGAAGTAACCCTAGCAATAGAAAAACCTTTTGCTGTTTTCCAGGACAGCACCGTACAGAACAAATTACTCTTGTCGGCGTAATTTACTAGTCATATAATTAGATTAAAATGGCAGCTAATATTTAAATATTGTGAGCTTTTAAACTTAGCTATCAGATATTTTGTGTGAGACTAGTGTGGTACTGCACACTTCAAGAAATTTTTTTTTTGTGTGAAGGCAGGACTGCTAGACAGAAGAAAGCTGTTGTGGGCCATTCACCAGTGGAAAGTAAGCACTGCATATATTTCTGATGTATGCAGATTGAGTGACGCCTGCAGATTGTTTGTTTATCTTCGATTCAATCAGTAGCATTATCTTGCCAGTTAATATACTGTTTTAACCAAAGGAAAAGATTGGCTTAGAAAATTTAAATATTTTCCCCAGGAAAAAATAAAATTTTAAGATAATTTTAGAACACTCCATGTTAGTTCTGATTTCTCCCACTTTAAAAAACTTTGCCCATCCTGAGTTATTTTTATTCTTTATTTGATTAATAATGCTAATATTTTTCTTCCTACTACATAGAAAATTAAAAAGGATCCTTATACAGCAACTATGGTAGGATTTTCCAAAGTCACAAACTACATTTTTGATAGTTTGAGAGGCAGCGATCCCTCTACGCATCAACGACCACCTTCAGAAATGGCAGATTTTCTTAGTGATGCTATTCCAGGTTTAAAGATAAATCAACAAGAAGAACCAGGATTTGAAGTCATCACAAGAGTGAGTGAAGATTTATATTAGTATAGCTTTTATATTTTAACAGGAGAAATGCGTTTTAAATGTGTACCAAATACTATAGAAACCTAATTTTGGTTGTCTGCCTCTTTCTCATAATCCTTTCTCTTTTTTTGCTAAATAATATATCTAACAACTAATGCTTGTCCTGCCACCAAATTCTTGGTTTGTTCTTCGTTGATGACTACTTATACTTTGTGTTCGTTAGTGTTAGATCTCTTTTCTTTGATTACCTGTTGATAATAATGAACAGGCTGTTTCACTGAGTGCATAGTTCAGCCTGCGTGTTGCCCCTGCTTCTGTCCGTGGTTTCTGTGTTTTCTCAGTAGGCACAGGACACCACTCTAGGGCTTTTATTCTTGTGTGGATCTTTCCTTCTCTAACTAAGATGGATTTTGGCCCTGAATTGTGGCAAATCTCAACAAGATTTTGAACTTGCTATAATTCTAGGCTGCACATAGTTAGAACATTATAAATATCTAAATTGTGGGCCTTAATTAAAAGGCTTATCTTTCAAATGGCGTTTTTAAATTACCAACATCTGTTAATTGAATAAAAAACTGTAGAAAATGCCAAGTGGAGCTAATGGATCATGAATCAATTCTGAGAGCTACAAATTTTAGTTTGAAAGAAAAGCTAATTTTAGAATATGATTAATGGAATAATACTCTCTTTTTTAATAATATAGCATACCATTTAGTTTGAAGGGTCTCTTACAGAATTTACATGTTGAGTATTCTGTACTTAAGTAATTGAAGCCCAAAATAACAAATGTTTTCCTACCTCTGAATTTATCACCCAGTTTGTGTTTAATAGGAGGGAAAACGTATGGAATGCTGACTATTATAGTTCATAAAGTAAATATTGGAAAATAAAGGAAGATATTCAGAAATGAGTTGGAATAGTATTTTAGTTTTAGTTTTTATATACCTTGATTTCATTTCACTGATTACAGCTACGTTCCTTATTGCTTATCTTCTTGTTTTAGATTGATTTGGGAGAACGACCTGTTGTTCAGAGGAGAGAGCCAGTGTCTCTGGACGAATGGACTAAGAACATGGATGCTGAAGGAAGAATTTTAAATGTAGACAATATCAAGCAGAGGATATTTAGAGGGGTAAATACTTTAATATGGATTGTATTTTGAACTACTAGTATTCACATTTTCTTTCCTTTCTCTCTTTTTTTTTTTTGGTAGGGGGTAGGAGAATGAACTCCTTTTTGATGAATGATGCCTTAAAATCCCTGTAGGACAGAGTGAGGTGCTTGTGCTGTCCCTCGGGGTTGGCTGGAGGTCTACCATTAAGCCTAGGGAAAGATACTCTTCCTTCTTGAAGTTCTGGGGTATGTGAAGGGAGCATGTTTGTACCCCAGTGGTCATTGCCTTACCCGGTAAGGATCCCTCTGTCTGCTCTGCAGTCTACTGTAGACTCTGCATTGTTTAAGCTTCCGCAGCTGCTTACATCTTCAGAATGTAGAAGTCAAAAACAAGGTAGTATTCACTGAAGTGAGCTATCTTTATATATAAAACTCTTAAATATTAGTCTTCCTGTTTATTTATATGCAAGTTTTGTGAACTTAAAGTATTGCATTCTTTTTTACCAGTGTGTTTAATATGCATGTTTTCTTCAGGGACTTAGTCATGTGTTGAGAAAGCAAGCATGGAAATTTCTTCTGGGTTATTTTCCTTGGGACAGTACCAAGGAGGAAAGAACTCAATTACAGAAACAAAAAACGTAAGTTTTGGTTTTTTGTGTGTTCATCAAAGAAATGCAAATAACTGACCCATAAGTATAGAGTTCCTAGGTAACAATTTGGAATAGACTAGGGTATGGGAAAATAACTTTATTTTCATCTTTTTAATTTAAAAATTATGAGCACTGTAGTTATTTCAGATCAGAAACACTTATTAGAAGGACCTCATTGCAATTATGTTGGTGAATATGTAGAAAATGGTAAAAAAAATTTCCAGTCCCCTCATACAAATGTTTTGCATACATGAAAAATAACTAGTTAGATAGAGATTTTTAAATATGTTTCATTCATCTTGATTCATTTCAGCAATTTGTTACAAAATTATAAAAATGGCTCATAAGAAGTGTATTTGCTATTTAGGTTAATTACCTTTAAATTATTTTCCTCCTGCTCTTGTAACATAAATTGGTCTTTCATTCTTTTTGGAAAAGTGTTTCTATTTTAAATAATTACTCAGACTCAAAAAGAAGAAACACAGACCAACTTTCCAGGTACACTTCTTATTCCCAGTTCGTCAGTCTAGCCTTTGATTTAAAGCTCACTCTAATCATTATGTGCATATTCAAACTCTTGGACAGTCTTCTCTCTTTTCAACACCTTTGCTGGTCCTTCTAAGACATTTTCACATTAACCAGTTTCTGCAATAAACTGGTTGGAAAATGGAACTCTTATGTCACGTTTAAAAAAAAAATCTTGTAGATTTTTATTTGTAATTATTCAGAAATATTAGTAGTTAAAATATTTAATGACTGGAATAATTTTAGGTATGATATTAAGGATTGAGATAATGTTTCCTTAAAATCATACTTAAATTATTCTAGTAGTTTAAACACAGTTTATGACATGTGTAAGGTTATTTTATTTATCTTTTATTTTCACTTACTTATTATAACTTGAAACATTGCATCATAATTGCTTTGATACCTTGTGTATAGAAAACTCAAATTTTTTTTAAAATAAAGTGTTCAAATAGCTTTTTTTTTTAAATGTAAAATTGCTTTCTATAGTGATGAATACTTCAGAATGAAGTTACAGTGGAAATCTGTCAGCGAGGAACAAGAGAAGAGAAATTCAAGGTTAAGAGATTATAGAAGTCTTATCGGTAATTTTTCTTAATTTTGGAAATGCTTGAGAGGGGTTTACGTTGATGTCTTGATAAGATTTAAGAAGTGAAGATATATGCTACAGAATTAGGGCTCAAAAGAGAAATTAGAATTGGCGAGTACCTTAGAATGTGTGTTGAATGTTCTTCGTTGTTCCTTTTCCAATAGGAATATGAATTCAGTCAGTATATTTATAAGTACTGATATAGTTTATTTTTAATTCCCAAATGTGAATTTTAAAAAACGAGCGTTTAACTTTATTTGCTTGTTGAATTAATTTCATTAAAAAACATTGTCTTGCTTATTATAAAGAAAAGTTTGTTTATTATAGAAAAATTAGGAACCATAGATGAGCAAAAAGAAAATAAAAATTAGTTTTGTTTCTGTCATCCATAGATAACTACGGTGAATGTGCTTTGGTTTATAGCCCTTCAGACCTTCTCTAAATATGCATATATTTCATTTTTTTTGAATTAAATAAATGACTCCATATAGATAGTAAATTCTTGTCAGTATTTGAGAATTGAATAACTATTCACCTGGGAATAATTATTCTCTAAAAAAGAGATGCTTGATAGACTTTTACATTAAAAGAATTAGACTTATTTCCAAATAGTGAGTACTGGGTTGTCTGGCTCTTCTGATAAAGACCAGGTTGGTGTAAGTTATTGAAGGAATGCATAGTTCCTGCTGTACGTGCCTACCTGACAAGTTTCAGTTCATAATCTCTATTTTACAGATAAGAAAATGGCAGCATTGAGAGCACAAATGACTTGTCCAAGGTCTCATGGTTAATAAGGGTTTGGTTAATAACGCCCAGTTTTAATGCTCTGAAGTATCTTGTTACTTAGCCTCTGTATAATTTGAGGATAGCTTTGGATAGTAGTGGAACTTATTTTATAAGTTCTTATATCGTATGTGGATTTGTTTATCTATAGCTTCATAAATAAAGGTAGAGGGATGTTGTTTTACCACCCTAGTCTCACCACCATCCCATGGAAGAAAAAGATCTCTAACTTACAGTTCGAAAGCCCAACATAACAGACTGATTTGGTAGCTTTTGTAGAAATAATGGCAAATGCTGAGATCTTGTAGGCAGTCATACTTTTAATTGAAAAAGAACTTTATTTTTCTGAAAAATAAAATACACCAGAATAAACGGTGTCCTTCCTCTGGTTCAGGCAGAAAGTTGGGGATCTTGAGGCATGGGATTACCTGAAATTTCCAGCTGAAGCTCCTGCTAGTTTCAGTTTCAGTAGGGAAAATGATAATGAACTGTTTTTTCCTGTTTGGGCATAAAAGATTTGAACTGGAAGGGATCTTAGAGATCAACTAATTCAGTATTTTAAGATTTTAAGTGTTTTCTTTCCACATGCCATATCCTCTTCCCTTTTTATCAAGCAATGCAGTGATGGCTCTGATGTTCTCAATCATTCTTCTGTCCTGTTCTCACTCTTTCCAGGAGATTGGGGGAGAAATTTAGATGTTTTAAATCCCCATAATATAATTTGAATTGTGACATACTTTAGTCCAGTTTTCTCATTTTTAGCAGATAATAAAATTGAAGCCCAGAAAAGTTTAGTAGATTGTCTTTAGTCATCTGTCTAGTTAGTTCCATAGCCCAGACTCATTTGTAATCAGATCTAATTCTTAATTAAGTGGCCTTTCAACTATACCATGGTTTCTACCAGTTAAGAAGTATATATAAGTTGGTTTTAAAGCATTTTTTTCTATAATACTTTTTCCCAAAAGTACTCTTTAAGAGAGATTACTGAAAGCTTTTGTTTGTTTTTTGGTATACATTCACTTTATTGAAAAAATACAGGTAAGCTGTAGGCCTTGTGAATCATGCCAAGAAGTTGGGTTTTATGTTAAGTATCAAAACTATTGGAGCGTTTTAAGTAAGACTATCGTATTTATATTTTAAAATGGTTTTCTGCTGTGTGGAAAATGGGTTGAATGAAGGTGAAAGTAGGAACAGGGAGACCAATTACTAGGAACAACTACAAGCAAGAGATGATGGTAGCAGAGAAGTAGAAAGTAAATGGAGTCAAGTTATATTTTGGTGATAGAATAGATAAAACTTCTTGACCTAGTAAATGTAGGGTATGAAGGGGAAAGAGAAGTCAAGGATGGAGCGTTTCTTGACTTGGGAATTTAGGTAGTTGATGGTGCCACTTACTGAGATGAGGAGAATGGGGTATGGTGAAATTGAATTAGATGCTAGATATATGTACTTTAAGGTGAGACATACAGTTGGAATGTCAAGTGGCTAGTTGAATAATCTGGAGTAGTCTGGGTAGGAGATATAAATTTGGGTATTATCAGTATAAATATGTATGAGAATAGATGATGTCACCTAGGGGAAAAAGAGAGGCAGATAAGAAGGCCTAGGAATCCCAGTCTTTAGAGCAGTCGTTCCTAACTTTTGCTGAATCACCAGGATCTTTTTGAAAATCACACTGACTGTTTTAAACATTCATACATTTGTTCGTTCAGTAAATATTTGTTTAGTGGCTATTATGTACTAGGCTCTCCTCTAGGCATTGGGGATTCATCAGTGAACAAAACAGACAAAATTCTTGCCCTCAGGAGTTTCCATTCCTACGGGGTAGAACAGACAGTAAATAAGATAAGTGACATATATGGTATGTTAGTGATATGTGCTGAACAGAAAAATAAGGCAGGGAAGATGGTTAGGAGGTTTATGTGTGCTGTTGCAGTCTTATCTTGGGTGACCAGAGAAGGCTTTTACTGAGAAGGTGATATTCAAGTAGAAACTTGAAAAAAGGGGATGAGTAAGCTATGCAGATGTCTAGGTAAAGGGCATTCTAAGCAGAAAGGATCAACATGTGTTAGACTTATTTCTACCCCAGGGTCTCTCTGCATGTATGAAGTGAATGTGGCTGGAGTGAGTTGGGGTAGAGTATAGAAACTGATGAGGTCAGAGAAGAAATGGTGGAGGAATAGGTGCAGATTGCATAGAGCCTTGTAGTTCGTTGTAAAGACTTGAGCTTTTACTCTGAGTGAGATGGGAAGCCACTGGAGGATTTTGAGCAGAAGAGTGACATGTTCTGACTTTTATTTTAACAAATCACTCTGGCTGCTGTCTGGAGAATAGCTGTGGGGGGCAAGGGTGAAAGTAGAAAGACTGTTTGAGGCTATTGCTATAATTCAGGTGAGGGATGATGTTGCTTGATCCAGGGGCTAGCAATTGAGTGAGGGAGATTTGAATAGAAACTTGAAGAAGCAGAGAGTGTATGCCATACAACTGTCTGGGTGAAGGGCTTCTGGGCAGAGGGGCAGAGCACGGTGTAGACTTGTTTTTGCCTCAGGACCTTTCCACATGTTTGGAGAACAGCAAGGAGAGCAGTGTGGCTTGAGTGGAGGAGGAGGTGGGCTGGGGGCTGGTGAATGGGTGCTAGATCTCAAGGTTGATTTCTACGTGTATTTTGAAGTTTTAACAGCTATATCAGTGTCAGACAAGAGAAGCAAAGACAAAAGAATGACTCTGAGATTTTTAAGGAGCAACTTGGAGGAATGGAGTGTTTTTTACTAAGACAGAGAAAACTATGAGAGAAGCAAGTTTGGAAGGGAACATTTGGAACTTAGTTTTGGACATGTTAAGTTTGACAGTGCCTATTGGCTGTCCATAAATTAATATATAGAGTAGGAGGTGGATATATAGGACTGGAATTCAGGGGAGAGATAGGAGCTGGAGATAGAAATGTAGAGATCATCAACATATAGATGGTAGGAGACTAGATAAAATTGTCAAGGGAATGAATGCATTTTGAAAAGAAGAGCTCCAAGAACTGAGCCCTGAGGCACTTTAACTTACAAGTAGGAATACTTAGGAGAAATCAGCAAAAGAGACTGAGAAAAGAGCCAGAGGAAAAAAGAGAGAAAACCTGAGAGTTTGTCCTAGAAGTCAGTGAAGAAAGTATTTCAGGAAGGAGTGACTGGGATGTCAGGTAAGATGAAGAGTTGGATTGACCATTGCACAGAGTAGTAAGGCAATCACTGAAGATTTTGGTTAAGGAGGAGTTTTGGTGGAGTGGATGTTACATCCTGATTGGAGTGAGTTCAAGAGGGAATGGGAGGAGAGGACTTGGAGACAGTTTATACAGCTCTTTCAAGAAGATCTGCTCTAAACAGATGGAGAGGAAATGGGGCAGCAGTTAGAGGGAAAAAAGGTTAAGAAAGGTTTTTATGATGAGAGAAACAATAGCGTGGTTGAATGCTGGGTGGTAGTGGTCCAGCAGAGAGGAAGAACTCATGAAACTAGAGATGGAGAGAAGAATTACTAGAGCAGTGTCCTTGGGTAGCCAGTAGGGGATGGATTTCATGCACAAGAGGAAGAGTTGATCTCAGCTCATTTATAGTGATATGAGAGGAGACTGTATGGATACAAATGCAGTTTTGTTGTTAAAATGGAACCTGTGGAAGTTCTCTTTGGATAACTTCCATTTTCTCAGAAATAGGAAGCAAGATCCTCATCTGAGAGGTAGGGTGTGGGAGAAGATAACATGTTGGAGGCTTGAGGAGAGAGAAGATGTAAAGTAGCTATACGATATGAATAGGGAGAGAGAATGGATGAGGGAAGTAGAGCATGATTGCCAGTTAGTATCAAAGGCCCGCTTAGGTTAGTGGTGATGAATGTGAAATGGGGTCAGTCTATTTAAGCTACGTCAGGTTAGACAGAGAGTTGGATTTAATGAGGGTTTTTTTTTTTTTTTTTAACTTAAGTACAGTACCCCACCTTATCCACAGGAGATGTGTTCCAAGACCCCCAATGGATGCCTGAAACTACAGATAGTACCAAACCCTATATATACAATGTTTTTTCCTATATATTGTACATATTTGAGATGCAACAGCAAAACTAGCATGAATTTCTTTTCCTCCTTCACAATTTTATGGATAGAAGATTCGTTGTTACCGTAGATCTTAGCAACCTCAGCATGTGTTGTTTTTTCTTACTAAGTCAAGAACTTTCACCTTTTCACTTAAAGGAAGAACTTTATGGCTTCTCTTTGGCATACTGAATTGCCAGCATCACTACTCTTGTGTTTTGGGGCCATTATTAAGTAAAATAAGGGTTACTTGAATACAGGCACTGTGATACCTTGACAGTCTATCTGATAACTGAGGCACCTACTAATGGACAGGTAGTGTATACAGTGTGGATCCGCTGGACAAAGGGATGATTCACGTCCCAACAGGATGGAGTGGGACAGTGCGAGATTTAAAACTTATGAATTGTTTACTTCTGGAATTTTCCATTTAATATATTCAGACTGCAGTTGACCACGGGTAACTGAAACTAAGGAAAGTGAAACCGTGAATGAGGGGAGGCTACTTACTCATTTTCTTTCTAGAGGTAGTTTCTAGAAATACTTGCCTTATAAAATATCATTTTTATATATCATTTTTGATCCCTTTCCATTTTCTACCCGGCATGTCATTACTAAATATCTATACAAGAGGAAAGAAATACAGACACTGATTCATGAGGGTACAAATAACTTCTTACCATGTTTAAAATGCCTGCTAAGGCAGATGTTCATATTGGCATTATGACTGTAAATTGTGCTTGAGTTAATAAAAAAATAACTTATTATATACCTCTTTATTAACTATGATATGAGAATGAAACGTTTTGACTTTTTAAATGAAATTTTACATTTATAGCATTTGATATTGCTTTTCCTTATTTGTTTGAAAAATGGATCCACAGTTCTGTGGATATATGCTTGCTTTTTATTAAATCAAATGTAGTGTATTTTAACAAAAAGCTAGAATATTGTTCCCATACTTTTTTAAAATGCTCTAACAGAATCTAAACTCATGTCATCTCCTATTGTTAAATTCTACTCTATTGTAAAATACTTCCCTGTCTATTCATAAGTATTGAGAATGTTTTCAAATTATTCAGTTTAATGGGGTCATCAAGGGAGAAGTCAGTTATAACTTTTAAATAGAATTGGTTATAGAGTAAATTAATCATTTTGAGTTTTTAAAAATTATTCCTAATTTTCTGAGAGATTCAAGTTTGGGGAATGCCTTTTTAGTTGTCAAGTCCTTCACAACAAGATTCATTTAATAGGTATCAGTGTTTGTGAATTGAGTTGTAAGTACAACTTGAGATACACTTATGGTGATGTTTTCAAATCTATTTTTAATGTCTTGAAATGAATTCTAGCAAAATGTGGATTTCCATTTTTTCGGAATTAAAATAAGTTGCTTATACTAATACATAAACATGAGAATAAGGAAATAATTTGTCTTGATGATTATGGAACATGACAAAGAAGTTGATAATACTTCTCATAATGAATTAAGCAAATCTGAATGAAACGAATCTCTTTGATTATGCTTGATTGCATAGTAGTTTTTTTCACTACTGTTTTCGGATAATACTGCCCACATACATTCATGACTGGCATTTTTATTGCTAACTAATGTGAATTATTACTTAGTGCTGATTTTAATTAATTGAAAGTGTTTCCTACTATTCAATGAAAAGATTTCTATGTTTAGATAAAAATGGGAAAATATTTAAAAATATACCCATGAGGAAGTAGACTGATTTTTGAAAAATATTCCAAAATGTTACTTTACTGCATATCTGAAATGGAGTTTGATGTATTTTTTCATTAAGGAAAAGCTTGGCAAGAGAGTAAAATTAATAGCAAGAAAAATAATTCTGTGCTTGCAAGATGTGAGCTTTATAAAAATCTGTTTTTCAAAAGGTTTTCAAATATGTGGTGATTTTCCTTCTCAGAAAAAGATGTTAACAGAACAGATCGAACAAACAAGTTTTATGAAGGCCAAGATAATCCAGGGTTGATTTTGCTTCATGACATTTTGATGACCTACTGTATGTATGATTTTGATTTAGGTAAGTTCTCCTCTAATATCTTAATTTAAAAAAGATTTGTATGTATTTATTTAGACCCAGTTAGATGTATGTAATATCTCTGTGGCCTGGTTTTTTGTTTTTTTCTTTTTTATGGTGAGGAAGATTGGCCCTAAGCTAATATCCGTTGCCAGTCTTCCTCTTTTTTGCTGAGGAAGATTAGCCCTGAGCTAAGAACTGTGCCTATCTTCCTCCACTTTGCATATGGGACACTGCCACAGCATGGCCTGATGAGCAATGCATAGGTCTGCGCCCGGGATCTGAACCCGCAAACCCTGGACAGCTGAAGCGGAGCATGCGAACCCAACCACTCCGCCACTGGGCTGGCCCCCATGGCCTAGTTTTTATAGAGGTTGTTCCACAGGAGACTGGAAACTTATAAGGCTGTGGCTCCCAAATTGTGCACTGAGGAGCACTGCGTTGCCACAGCAAACTCATGGGGGCAACGTAGGATGTTTTAAAGGTTTGAGGGAAATACAGTGATGTCTGTAAGACACTGTTCTATTAGCTGAAGTAGTTCAGGGTTTTAACACTAGATTGCCACGTTCCTTCTGTTGATGTTGTATCTTTGCAAAGCAGGGTTTTTTGCCTTACTATGATAAGCGAATACTGTGTAAAAGACAGATGAGGAACAGGAAATGAGGATGGTGGTATCCAGTTGGATTCCAGAGTTTGAGAAGTAGCGCTGTGCCCAACAGGGGCAAAGTTCATAGGACATAAATGCTTATTCAGTTGTTGGGATCTAACTACTTAATAAATGGAAACGTTAGTTATTTTTATGAACCCAAGGGTGCCTTGGAGAAAACTACTGAGTCATTAAGGATGCTGTGAAGTGAGAACGTTTGGGAAACTTTGTTTGATATGCTTTCTTCCTTGTGAAGAAAAATACTTATTTGATATCTTAGACAAGCAGTGCAGATAATTATCTAGGCCATGTGAGACTTGACTCTCTTTTCTTGGTAAGTCCAATTCCTACCAAGAATGGGTTGGAAAGACTGGGGCTGGAGGTGGGAGTGGAGGATTGCATGGGAAAGAGATCCTAAGGGGTAGAAAACCTAAGAAACTAATATTTTAAGGGGCAAGAGAACTTGAGCTGTTTCTTTTGTTGACTTGAAAAGCCTCAAAATGAGTTTATTCAGGACTAGCCAAAAGAATTGCAATTCGGGATGTGCATACTATGGCAAACCATGGGCAAATCCAATAAAGAAGGGGAACTGCCTTTATAGAGAAAAAGGGGGAGTAGGGACGGGCTGTGCTGAACGAAAGTCCATTGGGGGAAAGTAACAGTTCAGGGTCGCAACAGCTTCTCATTGGCTGGGCCGTTGCTGGGGGGAGAGAAGTCTTCCCTCAGTGGTCAAGTGGTCGTGCTTCCTGTCCAAGATGCAAGTGTCTGTCTCTTCCTGGTGGTGTAATTGATGATGTGTGAGAGCTCCCCCACAGGCCTTCCCGAATCCAGTTTACTTAACATTTCTGTTATTACTTTCCATACTTTAAAGAACCAGCAAATTCCCTAAGCATCAACCTTTAAATGAGTATAAATAATGAAAAATTTCTGAGTTACCTGCCATGTAAGTGACTCCTAGGTAGAAACTAGTGGAAATAGATGTTTTCCAGATTACTTTAATAGAGCTTGAGACGTCTTTTGGAGAATGTAATTGGATATTTAGCATATTAAACTCAAGTGAATCTTGAATTATGGGTATGTTTTCTTCTCTTTGTATCTATGTGAATTCCTCTTGGCTTCTTATATGTAAGTTAGGGGAAGATGTAAACTCTGTTGTGGATTTTGAGGCATCAGCCTCTTTGGTGACAGTAAGTTGAAAATCACAGATTTCTCTTTAAAATGTAAAATGTAACCAGTCCTGTCTATCACACCTGTAGTGAGCCTCAAATTGGATCATTGAAAACATATTCATAGAGTGCTTTTCAGGTTACAGAGTGCTATCATACTCGATTTTGATTTTGATTATAATAGAAGCCTTTTGGAGAAGCGGGGAAATAATCCCCGCTTTATGAGTAAGGTTATATAGGTTCAGAGAGTGACTCAGGGTTGCACAAGTAAAAAATGTTGGACTGAGGTAGAGACCCAGGTCTTTATTTCATGCTGGCATTGTTACCTCTACACATTCAGCACCCTGACACATTGCCATTTTAGTTTCTGTTATCACTATCGGGAATAGGACCATCGTTCTAGGGAGCAAGAGACATTGCCCCAAATTCGTAGATGGTAATCTTGAGATATGCGTTCATGCATATTCTCGGAGTTCCTCCGTGTTCCGTTTTTTCTAGGCATAGTCCCAGACCAGTTAACTGGATAAATTGCAATCTTCATTTGTCTGTATTAACCCTGTATTCTTTCTAGTCAAATACCTAATTTATCTGAAGCATAGCCAAGATTCCCATTAAGAACTCTGGCCTTATGAGAAGCCAAGGAAGTTCTCATAAAGCAGTGGACCAAATTTCTTGACTTTTACTCAAAGCAAAGTAACCTGGGCTGTAAATTTATAGGTGATTCTCTCATATTGAGTTGTCTGGCGTCTTAGCCCATAGATGAGGTACAGGTGTATTTGTGCTGAATACAATCTCATTCATAGTGAGGAAAGAGACAGAAATGATCAAAAACAGACAGAAGAACTCAAGGAAGAGTAATTTTTACTTAGTGTGAAGACACTACACCTAGGATGTTTGTATGGAAAGTACCTTTTTTACAGTGTATGTTCATAATGATGATCCTGAATAACCAATGAGAGTTTAAATTATACTCAAAATACTGCATATAAGAAGGCAGGAGAGTGTCTAATTTAAAAAAAAATGATTTCCAATTCCTAAGATTTTTTTTTTTTATTTGATAATCTAAGGGATAAGCTTCAGTTAACCTGGAAAATTGACCTATATGTAGATGAATTTTTTTTCAGTGTAAGAAAGTATACAGTAGGATGATAAGGAGTTCAGTTCTCATGTCTCCCCACTGAAACAAATTTGCTATGAAAATAGTTTCGGGGAACTGCTTCAGAAATTCTAGTAGTGCTGAGGAAGATGTGTCTCAGCCAGCACTAGTGCCGCCTTGAGTGTCATTGAGTGCTCATTTACACAGCTTTCCTCTGTCTTTAATTAAAAGGAATTTGTACACTAATTCCACCCCTGCAACTCATGACATACCCCAAAGAACATCATGTATAAAATAAAATAGATTAAAAACAACCAGAATATGAAGATTAATTTGACTACTTGCTTCAGCTAAGACTTACCGAAGAAATATGGTGGTGATCCCATATGAAAGCTGAAGACTTAAAGGATTAAGTTAGCTTCTTAGAAATTTTTATTCATTATACCTTTATAATAAAGCACATTTTTCCCAAGAGGAAATGTGCTTTGTAAATCTTTTGAAATATTTCTATTATAGACCATATGCAGTCAGACCCAGTAAAGTAGTACTCTTTCAAATTTCCTTCGTGCTTTAGTTGGTTTAGCCTTTATATTTGTCATTGCATTCACCGTGTCAGTGCCATGTAGGAAAGTTTTGATAACAATTAAGTCTTCCTTCCAACCTATTTATTCTTTTCTTAAGAGTGTTGTATTAGTTAGGTTTCTCCAGGGAAACAGAACCATTAAGATTATATATTTAGGGCCGGCCCCATGGCTTGGCGGTTAAGTGCGCGCTCTGCTACTGGTGGCCCGGGTTCGGATCCCGGGCGCGCACCGACGCACCACTTCTCCAGCCATGCTGAGGCCACGTCCCACATACAGCAACTAGAAGGATGTGCAGCTATGACGTACAACTATCTACTAGGGCTTTGGGGGGAAAATAAATAAATAAAATCTTTATTAAAAAAACGATTATATATTTATTTATTTACACACACACACAAACACACAAAGAAAGAGAGGAAGAGAGAGAGAGAGGGAGAAAGAAAAGGATAAGGTATTGGCTCACGTGATTATGGAGACAGAGAGCTCCCACAGTCTACTGTCTGCAGAGTGGAGATGCAGGAAAGCTGGTGGTGGAGTTCAAAGGCCTGAGAGCAGGAGAGTTGATGGTGTAGATGTTGGTCCAAGTCTGAAGGCATGAGAACCAGGAGCACAGAGGACAGGAGAAGATCAGTGTCCCAGCTCGAGCAGCCAGGCAGAGAGCAAATTCACCCTTCCTCTGTCTTTTTATTCTGTTCAGGCCCTCAGTGAATTGGATAATGCCCACCCACTTTGGGGAGGGCCATCTGCTGTAATCAGTTCACCAATTTAAATGCTAATCTCTTCTAGAAACACCTTCACAGACACTCCTAGAAATAATGTTTAACCAGACATCTGGGCATTCCTTGGCCCACTCAAGTTGACATATAAAATTAATCATCACGTGTGCATTATTTTAAAAAGCACCTGCAGTAAATTTGTAGAAATGCTTACATTTAGATATCATGTCACATGCCATTATCTCTGGCACTGTTTTCCAAATGTCTTGGTAACTCCATTTATTGGTTCTATAATAATTGGCTGCTCGCCATGGGAACCCCAGTGTTCTTTGTGCTAATGTAAGTAGAGTCCTCCTTTCCACAGGGTATAGTGTAGACATAGTGAGGTTGATAGGGACTCGGCATAACAGGAGATGGTAGTGCAGAGGCTCAGAGCAGCTAGAGCTAAACTTATTTGGAGGGAGACCCTAAGGTGATCTGAGTGCCTCTGTCTGTTATATATTTAATCTGAGTTTTCTCAAGAGACTTGGGCTCACATGTTTCCTGGGGTCGTTTTTAAAGTTTTGGAACTGCAAGTGAAAGACTGGTTTCCACAGACTTCCCAAACTACCATTGGAAAAAAATCTCTCTGTAACTTTAGCAAATGTGCAAAAGTTACTGAAGTTAGGGGCCGGCCCGATGGTGTAGTGGTTAAGTTCATGCGCTCCATTTCGGCTGCCCAGGATTCACAGGTTCGAATCCCAGGCACAGACATATGCGCCACTTATCAAGCCATGCTGTGGCAGGCATCCCACATATAAAGTAGAGGAAGATGGGCACGGGTGTTAGCCCAGGGCCAGTCTTCCTCAGCCAAAAGAGGAACATTGGCAACGAATGTTAGCTCGGGGCTAATTTTCCTCACCAAAAAAAAAAAAAAAAACCAAAGTTAAATGATAATATGTATGTGAAAAGGCTTAATGTGAGCTCTTGTCCCTTTCTTGATTCAAGAATTTGAGTCATAAGTCTGAAATCTAATTGTAAAGTGGTTAAGAAAATTGAAGGTTTTATAAGATGGAACTAAAAAACAAGAAGCTTGACGTGTTCAGGTGAAAAGCAAAACCAAGACTTTTTGTGAGGGGGCTAGTTCTTGAACTTGCCAATTTTTCTTTTAATCAAGGGCTGTAATTAGTGTCATGACTGAGAAATTGTAACAAGCATCAAGAGAAAGGTGGTTAAAGTGATAGTTTTAGGTACAACATCCTGATTGGATTAAATCCAGTTGCTACGATTGGTTGGGTATAGAGTAACAGGAAAGAAAAGAAAGAAGCACTTAGATATGACGATTTAAAAGAGGTGCATCATTTTGTTGTGACTCTTTTTGTTTAGATTGCCATTGATCTGGTTGCTAAAGCAGTAGGACCTTGGACCCTTTTTAGTTCTTATTTTACTTGGCTTATTCATGCAGTTTGGTGCTGTTGACTACTCTGGCCTTGCAACTTTCTTCCCTTGTCTTCTGCAACACCCTTTGTTCCTTTGAGTTTTTTTTCCTTACCTCTCTGACTGTTCCTTCTTAAATCTCCTTTAAGAATGTACTATTAAATTTGATGTGCCTCTGGGTTTTCTCTTCATGTCTCTTCTTTCTCATAGTGCTTTTGCACATTATTTTTAAAGATATTACCCACTCTTGATAGTGATACCCACATTAAAACACATACTAGCAGCTATATATCTGCTTAAATCTCAATCTAAACTCATCTTTCTCACTTGATTGCTAGACTTCCTCCTTCTTGTTTATTTTCTCTTCTTGGTGAACATCAGTATCGACCAGTTTCTGAAACCAAAGAAAAGACGTAAATTTTAAGTGAAATGGTAGTGGTATACACAGAAGGATACATAAAGCTTAAGTTTTTAGCGACATTATTTTTTCTGTTCTTTTTAGGATATGTGCAAGGAATGAGTGACTTACTTTCCCCTCTTTTATATGTGATGGAAAACGAAGTGGATGCCTTTTGGTGCTTTGCCTCCTACATGGACCAAATGGTAAGAACAGAGGTTCCTTCCTTTAATCAAACTAATTTTGAAAATTTTAGTTGTATAATCTTATAGATTGATGTTTATATTTAGCCAGTTAAGATGGAACTTAAAAAAAATTTGCTCCGTGTTGTTCGTTTGTTTCTTTTCTAAATAGTCTTTTCAAGAGGCTTGGCAATACTGGCATTGTTTTTAATACAAACAATAGATAGTAAGTGCCTGTGGAACAGGAACAATCAGGATTTAATGTCAGTAAATTCTTATGTTCTGCAGAAGAGCCATGAGTCGTTATAGAATGTTGATGAAATAGATCAATTCAGTTCTTGTGAAGTAGTTGAACTTTCATATCATCTGTTTCAGAGATAAAGCTTAGTCATGCCGAGAATATCCTTACCTTTTGTGAACATTTTGGGTTTTGTTGTTATAGTAACTGATTTTTCTCCAGATGTGTTTGAAACTATTTGTAATGTCGACACTTTCTTAGTACTTCACTGTTATTTTCTCAGAAGCGTGTGGTTATTAGAGTTGACCTATGTCTATATGTACCTATTATTACAAAGAGCATTTAATCTATTATCATTGATATACCTTGAAGAGAGAGGCTATTAACAGGGAACTAAAGTAGAACAGTCTTCTCAAGTAATCTATTAGAAAGAAAAGAAAAAGCAGAGGGGCTAAGAGTAGATAAAGGCATATGAAATCCAAAGACCTGACTACATAGGTCATTGTACTGTTTCAAAATAAAAGTAATAAACTTGATGCTGGGACTTGATGTTGGATATTGAAATGGCTTGCTTGCAAGGGGATAACGATTTTGAATGTGTAATCATATAAAATGTTTCCACCTGAGTTTAACTCAGAGTTTCTGGGATACAGATGTGAAATTTGGAAGTGGTACTCTTCTCTTTTTTCATTACTTTTATTCTTCCCCTCTTGCTTGCCTATTTTTGTTTCCCCTTCCAATTTTTCCCACTTTTATCTGTTTCCTCAAGTCTCTTATCCCTGGTTCCAGCTCATCCTCGCTTCTAGTCCTTTTCCAAATGTATATTTGATAAGATTTGATAGTTTCAAAATGTTCTTTTACTATTAAATTAGTAAATATTAAAGTTATGTAGTCTTTTACCATGAATTAATGTTTTTGGATTATTTGGAAGGATTGTTAATTGCAGTAATCTGGTAATATATCATAGTTTGTCTTCCTTACCTTTTTGATTGATTGATTTTACCGGCCTTCTTAGTTCCAATTACTCCCAAGTGCTCTAGAAACCTGAGGCATTTGTTATAAAGGTCTGTACAACTCATACTAATTGTGTAAAACTGTTGTCTGCCTTCCTGTGTTTTTGTTGTTTATCCTCTTTTCACTAGAGCTAGTATGTCTTTGATAAAGGGGTCATGTCTTTGTTTAACTAGTTCTCTGGTATGCTTCCAAAATTTTCCAAATGCCTGACATGAGGTTTTTGGTCAACAGATTTTTGTGGAATAAACACATGAATATTTCCCCAGTGCTTAGTTTGAACCTTTATGTAGATATTCCAAAAGAACTAACATGAATATACTGCATTTAGTTTTTTACAATAAGTTTTTATAAAACTGAGGCAATACTGGCATGTTCCAGTATATTGGTTTATGATGCCAAATACATACATACGTGCATACATGTGCATGTATTTCGGTCTTAAATGTGAAGACTACTTTCTGAACATCTGTAATATACACTTTGCAGTCTATTTGTCATTTTTCTGTGTGGAAGTTGAAGTTCTTTTTTCTGTCTTTCACAGTAAGTGTTCTCTGTGTTTACCTTTTCCATTGAGGGTGATCTGGGGATTTTTCTAGTCTTTATTCTAAAAAGATCTCTTAATATATTGTTTACTAACTTTTTTCCCATAATATTGAACACAAGGGCAATATGTTGCAATAAAATAATCTGCACAATTATTTTTCACTATATTGCTTTTGTTTTGGTGTCCTTAAGTCTGTGCTGCAGTTGGTGGACTCCTTTTTGTTTTACAGCTTTATTTCATGTAAGTTTTTATTTCTTTTGTGATGGCTGAACCTAATGTCTGTAGATTTACTCCTGTTGATATTTACTCTCATCTAATGTGGGTCTAGGCATAGACTTGGTCTATTATGGAAATATTTGCTGTCATCTCATGAACTTTCTTATCCCACCACCGCTTTAGTTTACAGATGTGTATGTGTACACACATGTGTTTATTCACAGATACAGTGTAAGCCTTTCTATAGCCATTGTTGATCTCACGTCCTCTTCTCCAGGAATAGCTACTTCTCCAAAGTTGGCTTCTGTCCTTTTGGGTGTGCTTCTTTGTAGAGCAGAGTGGGTAACAGTGGCTATGCTGTGTTGGTACGCCCAAACCGTCTCTGATCTTTGGCTGTGTCACAACAAAAGTTATGCTGTTAATAAAAGAATTAATTCTGCCTTTCCGCTACAGGTCCATGTGGTAAATGTGAAGAAACTAAATCCCAAAAGCTTATGTTAGTCTATTAAACTAGTTCTTTAAATCATTAAAGAGAAACCGGTTTATTGAGAATTAGTAGCCTTTAAACATTCTTTTTTTTTTTTTTTTTTTACCAAGAATGAATGACTTCCAATCTGATAGATACTTCTAATGAAGCACTTCGTCATCTCTAAAACCAAAAAGTGTGAAGGAGGGGATCTTCTTAGACTTTTCACAAGGGTTAGGGCAGTTGGTCACCATAGAGGGGTTCGAACACATTTGAGTTAAAGGGATCAGAATCATCTAAGAAACCTTTCATTTATTTTGGTTTCGCTCCCCCCCAACCCCCCCTGACTGAAGTGTTGGTAGAGAATCTCGTCAACTTTGAAGGTTATTTAAAGCATGTAAACCACAGCAGTTCTCAAACTTTATGTTCTCAGGACCCTTTCACACTCTTAAATATTATTGAGGACCCCAAGAGCTTTTGTTTATGTGGGTTATATTTATTGATGTTTATCATATGAGAAATTAATAGTGATAAATTTATAAATATTTAATTCATTTAAAAATAACAGTAAATCTATTATACCTTAACATACGTAACATTTTTTCATGAAAAGTAACTTTTCCAAAACAAAATTTATTGAGAAGAGGGATTGTTTTATGTTTCCCATTTTTTTTAGTGTCTAGGTTAATAGAACACAGCTGGATTTTCACATCTGCTCCTGTATTCAGTCTCTTGTGAAATCACATATCATATATATAGCCTTTACACGTGGGAGAATTTAAAGTGCAAGATGTGTATAATCTTTTAGTATTATTGTGAGAATGGTTTTGACTTCACAGATTCCCTAATGCCATCAAATCTAAGAAATAATTAGTTAATTCTTTAAAATGAGATACATATTAAAGCTAAAATTAATTCTATTTCATTTAATAATTTGAAGAAATATTTAACAATGGAAGTGATTTGATAAAAGTTTATTTCCCAAGTGTGTGTTCCTTTCACCAGGTCTCTTATTCTATGTAAGAAATAAGTATATCAGTCAGTCTACAGCTGCATTCTTTATCTAAACCAAATGCGTGGAGGGAAAAAATAATCCTTAGTTTGAGACCACGGATTCGCTTTCTTTCCTTTTTAATGTTGCTTTAGCTTCTTATAGTTGTGATTTTTTTTTTTTAATATAACCAGTGTGTATAAGTCCACCATTTGTCCTTAGACTCATGGTTTAATTATCAGTGAACATGTACTATAAAATATATATTAAATATCACTTATGTGGTAATATTTGTTTCCTTTTAAAGCATCAAAATTTTGAAGAACAAATGCAAGGCATGAAGACCCAGCTAATTCAGCTAAGTACCTTGCTTCGATTGTTGGACAGTGGATTTTGCAGTTACTTAGGTAAGTTGAGTGAATCAAAACTACGCCCAGCAAATTGTAGGGTAATACACAGAAAAAATGTAAAGAACTCTTTTAAAGACATATATATTCTACCACTGTTGCCTGGGTTCCTCTGAGGGATAAAAGTGGGACCAAACTATCTTTGTATGATTCTTCCTTAAAACAGCTTATTCATGAAATGAATTATTTGTTGTTATTTGGTGGTTTTCTTTTAAAGAAGTTAGCCTGAAAATTTGAATTGTTTCATTGAATTAGTAGAAGGTAATTCAATTTATAAGACTTTTAATAGCCTAAGATGCATAAAAAAAATTTGAGTTTGAAGTAAGTTCACTGTATTCTGAGATAATTAGCCTAAGAGTAAGCTATATATACATTTTTTCTTCTGTATAGAATCTCAGGACTCTGGATACCTTTATTTTTGCTTCAGATGGCTTTTAATCAGATTTAAAAGGGAATTTAGTTTTCTAGATATTCTTCGATTATGGGAGGTAAGTTCTTAAATTATTATACAAATGTGATCTTTATTATGGAAAGAAAGAAATTTATTCTATAGAATATAAATGGATTGTAAGAGCCTAACTGAAGCTTCTAAAGCAATTATGTTCCAAAATTCTGATGGTTTTGTGGTCTCTCCTTAAAAACTAGTGTTCTTTAACTGAATATCTGGTCTTCTGGTCTTTGGAGTTTTTTTTCTGTAAATCATAATCCTACTGAGATTTGGAGCCAATTGGTTGTTTCCCGGAACCTGTTGTCTAGACCGTTTTTGCCTGTGTTCTCTCCTTGGGAGACTTGACTTTCTGTGAGGCTTGGCTGCATTTTGATGCAGATTTATATAGAGTTCAAGGAAGTTTCCACAAGACAGTCACTTGAGATGGCACATTATTTGTAGTCTGACGTATTGGGAGGGAGCCAGCTTGTCTTTTGCTTTTTTAAAGAAATTTAAGTTAGAGCAAAATACTAAGAATAATATAAGAAACATCCCACCATTCATATTTAACATATGTGAACATTTTGCCATATTTACTTGTATTTTTTTCTCAAGGAAAAATATTTAAAGATATAGCTGACATCTTTTTTAATCACCACTCCAAGTCCCATTCCTTCTCCCCCACTCTAGAGGATATTCATGATCATGTTTTTGGTGTGTGTCCTTTTTTTCTGCTTTACACCCCAGGCAACTCTTGGTGAAAAACAGAAAATTATTATTTTCTTCTCAAATATCTGTTAGTTGTTAACAGATTGTTGTGCTTTAAAAATAGAGTATGGGTATAATGACTGATTGCTGTTTATCTTTACAAAAATAAAGGATTACAGAAATTCTCCCAAGGAAAGAATAGGGGAGATAATCCATTTGAATGATAAATAGACTTTTATACAGTGGAACCCCAGTGCCATCTCAGGCGTTTGCGCCTGAAAATTGATTCCTATACTTTTGGTGACTATGATTCTGTTAGAGAAGGTGATGCTCTGATTGAAGGACCACTGCTTTGTGGAGGATCACTTCCTCTTTTTGAAACTAGAGGTAAAATTCACATGTTCTTGACCTGGAATCATGTTTTAAAGTTGATCCACTTTGTCAAATTAATATCTCACCTTCTTTTTTAGAGGATGAATTAAGAATATTGTTACCACATAGCTAGAATAACTCTTCGATCTGTGTTTATCAAATAAATTGGAACTTTTAATGAAACCTTTGAGGTTAATTGCATTATAATTAAACTTTCAGAAATAGTATTTAGTCTGAAAATTATTCAACTTGATTTACTCCTGGTGAAAGAAATACAAACACAGGTATGCTTTAATAGTATTGTTTATGTGGGTCTTTTTATCTCTCCAGAAAAGACATTATTAGGTACATTCACCAGGGGGAAATCAAGGCCTTAAATTTGAGAGCAGTACCTATATTTAGGAAGAAGTGCAGCTATTGATCGAACGTTTTGTACGTTTGGTTATGAACTTTGGGTGGTTGATTTAGTTTTTCTCACTATCAAGGATACTCTGAGTTATATAATATGATGTTTAGAATGTAGAGCTATCTCTGGGTGTATTTGAGTCCATGTACTAAATAACTGAATTTTTTTTTATTTCCGGGATTTAGTCCCCCCCCCCCCCCCCGAGACTGAAGATGATTTAAAGTGAGAAACTGAAGGTTCAGAAAAATGTTGAAAATGCCTCTAACCCTTACATCTTAAACTTAACCTCATGGCTGTGGCTTTTTAATTAATACCATTTATCATATTGGTTAGGCTCAGTGATTTGCTTGTTGTAGTTACCTAAAGAGCCACATTTGGAATTCATGGTATTCACATAATGTTAAACTTGATGTTAGTTACTTTGTAGGTGAAGGTAAGACTTCCTTTCCCCACCCCTCATTTCCTAACTAGGAAAACAGTGGACTACTCCATTTAGGCAACTTCTGCTTTGTGTAGAAGTCGTTCAGAGTTCAGCATTGTATCTGTGAGGATAATATTTTAGAATTGACATAGTTTACTAAATAGTTGTTCTGTTTTTTATAGGTAATGTGGACTGAATTACCATGTAAAAATTTCCATCTTCTTCTCTGTTGTGCTATTCTGGAATCAGAAAAGCAGCAAATAATGGAAAAACATTATGGCTTTAATGAAATTCTTAAGGTAGTTATTCCTTTAATTTAGACTTTAATATTTGGCTCTTTCTTCTGTTTGGTGGTACTGATATACAAAACATTTTCTTGGAGCTTTATTGAATTCCTTGAATAACTTAAATTGTATCAATAACCCTTAGTACTAGGACTGTCTGAGAATGGCAGCTCAACAAATACATATTGGCCAGTTATTTTTACATGGCTAATTAGGAAGAAAAGGAAAATCAAATCCCCTTTATGTTTAGTTTTCTAGAAGAATAATTGTTTTTTGCTTATAACTTTGAAATAGTAGACTTGGGGTAGCTGCTGGATTTAATGTTCCATAAGCTTATTAGCTATTTTTTAGCTTTAAAACTTGAAATAAACTAAAGAAAGATATATTGAACTTCCTGTTTATTTGTAGTATGTGGGGGCTGGCCTGGTGGTATAGTGGTTAAGTTCGCACGTTCTGCTTCAGCAGCCCAGGTTTTCACGTTCAGATCCCTGGCACGGACCTATACACCTCTCATCAAGCCATGCTATGGTAGTGTCCCACATACAAAATAGAGGAAGATGGGCACAGATGTTAGCTCAGTGACAATCTTCCTCAAGCAAAAAGAGGAAGATTGGCAACAGATGTTAGCTCAGGGCTAATCTTCCTCACCCCCAAAAAAAGAATTGCTGTTTGTAGTATGTGAATATTTTTATTTTAAGGATTTTTTTTTTTTTTTTGTGAGGAAGATCAGCCCTGAGCTAACATCCATGCTAATCCTCCTCTTTTTTTGCTGAGGAAGACCAGCTCTGAGCTAACATCTATAGCCAATCCTCCTCCTTTTTTTTTTTTTCCCCCCCAAAGCCCCAGTAGATAGTTGTATGTCATAGTTGCACATCCTTCTAGTTGCTGTATGTGGGACGCGGCCTCAGCATGGCCGGAGAAGCAGTGCGTCGGCACGTGCCTGGGATCCGAACCCGGACCACCAGTAGCAGAGCGCGTACACTTAACTGCTAAGCCATGGAGCCGGCCCTATTTTAAGGATTTTATCTGCAGTGAAATGTAATTGACAATAAATTGGTAGAATATAATAATGCTTTCAGTTTGGATTATCATTTTATTTTATTGATTCATTTTAGCATATCAATGAATTGTCCATGAAAATTGATGTGGAAGGTGTACTATGCAAGGCAGAAGCAATTTCTCTACAGATGGTAAAGTGCAAGGTATACAGTGTTTTAAATAATTGTAAGATTTTTTTGTTTGTATGTTTTTGGTGGGTTGAGGTAAAGAAAATTTTTCTTCTTAGAAGTAAAATAAATGGCACTTTTAGGAAGTTGAAGGCAGACGAAGCATTGGCTGGCACTTTGTTTACCATTATAGATTTAAAGCACTTAATTGAAAACAGTTGATTAATTATGCTAGATAGGAAGTATGTAATAATAAGACAAAATGGCAAAAGTAATGCAAACATTTCTGCAACAACTAAGGAGGCTGTAGAATTGAACTAAGCACTGATGCATTATGCAGTTGAATAGTGAATGCAGAACAGGACCTCATATTAAATATGTGGTATCCTCAAATAAAGGTTTGGAAAGGTTTATGGAAAGACGCTAATCGGAAATAATTAAATGGATAGTATTTAGTCTATATTATTACATTCGTATCAGTCAAGCTCTTAATTATTTCTAAAAACAAGGCAAATTTGTTGTATTATGATCTGAATTCAAACCAAATCATTATGCTTCTGATGTATTTTGGGTTTTGTATTTTAATGAGAATTTTTATTTGGTCTTTGTGTCATTTGTTCATGGTTCCAAATACTTATTTTGGTTCAGTTCTGCAAATATTCATTCGATAGCTGTTTTGTTCAAACCATGTCAGTGAGATACTTTTTACCTTTAAGGAACCTCTGTGTACTGAGGGAGAAAGATTGTGTAAATAAGGAGGATGAAATAAATGCTAAACATTAGGAAACAGTATGTTTGTAGGATTTCATTTGGAGTGGAGAAGGAAGATTTGAGAGAGAACATGACAATGACCCTGTTAGAACAAACGTTCGGATTCTGGAGTCAGTGCATTCTTGAGCACAAGTGTTACTTTGTGATTACTTTTGCTCTGTAGTGAAGGATGGTTTTGTGTTTGATCTTGCATATTCAGGAATTGCCACAAGCAGTTTGTGAGATCCTGGGGCTTCAGGACAGTGAAGTTGCAACCCCAGATTCAGACACTGGTGAAGATGAAAACGTTGGCATAACAAGTCGTCCTGCATCTGCATTTCAGAGTGATTCCTTGCCTGTACTTGCTGCCAGTGGAGCCAGAGATGACAACCCGACACAAGTATCAGTGTCCCCAAATGTCAGCAGATTAACACCTGCATGATCGTTCTTGCTTAATTTTTGAAGAGACACTTTGTTGCAACTTTTTTTCAAGTACTTGAAAGGTGGAAATTTAAAATCTTGGTGTTGATCATGCTTTAAGGTTTATGGAAAGAAAGTGTACTGATGTTCTTGCATTAAAGCTTTACAAAGATTTAAACTAATTATTTTTGTAGTTCTTCTACCAAATAGCCTTTTTTCCCCCAATAACATTCCTTAGTATTTTTATAGCCAAGTACATATTATTTTCTTGCTGATGAACTGGAATTGGGTAAATGTTACAAGTGGATGAGATGGAAATTATGCACTTTGAAGAACATTCACTTTATTTACTCCAAGTTTAGTGGGTTTTGGATTTGATTAAATTAAAGTTTGAGGCTTTCTGTAGCATTCTAAGCTGAGAAGTAGATTGTTACCCAGTGACGAAATTCTTTTGTTTTTCTCTATTGTTTACAACAATACTCAGCTTAAATATTTATGCTATTGAATGTGATTTAAATTGGACATTTTCATCAATGCAATTTAATGTGTAGATAAAGAACTATTTCAACCATAATAAGTGGATTGGCAGTATATTTTTTACATTGAACTTTTCTTCACCTGTATATAAAGACTATGTAAGTACCTATTTATGAGTATAAGAAAGGGTAAGCATATTTTCTTTTACTGAATAAACTTGACTATTGATTTCTATAACCAGATTTGACAAAGTTAATACATAGCTTCAATATGAGATCTTTTTCAAAACTATTTTCTTAACCAAACATTTATTTCATGAGACCACATTCAGCCCTATACCTGGTGTAATTTTAAAATTAATTGCTTGTAACCTCACTTTACTGATAATGTTTATTATCTTTCCTAATAATGCATTAACTGATTAATCAGGTCTTTAAATTTTTATAAAATACTCTTTGCATAAAGCTTATGTCAAAAATTTCAGTGTACTATCATGAATCTCAAAATAATACTTTTTTGTATATGAACAAAGCTCTTGTTTTTACTATGCAGTGTTGCATGATTTTAAGTTACTTGGAATTAACATAACTGATTCTGTTTTCATTGTAATTTAACTCATGTACATATCATTAAAATAAATTTGAAGTCAAAGTAGTGTTTTCAGTTAAATTACACTTAGAAATATTCTGCTAGTTCTTCATAAGGAGAAAAAAATCCAAGATGGACCCAATACATCTCATATTTTTATGTGATTGAAACAATCATTTGAATGAGTTGTGAAAATGAGAAGAAACATGACCCCTTTTATAACTGAAAAAAAATTTTCATCAGGATGAAATTGGGCTGTGTAGCCTTGGAGGATATAATTATCTGACTCAGTAAAGCAACTGCCTACAATTGATGCTAATAATGTAAAATAAAAGTTACATAGTTCTAAATCAGTCTAGTAGATAGATTTTTTTTTTCCCCTTAGAAAACTAGGGAACCGAATGAACATTTTTTCTCCTTGAGCATTACTGACAATCATGACAGTAGAACCATTCGATTTTAGTTTCTAATATCATATGTATGTTATCTTTCATCAGTTAATAAAAGTAAGCCTATTCAGGAAAAAAAAAGTAAACTGATCAAAAACTCGGAATCTCTAGCCTTTCATTTCCTGTTGTTCAGGAAATTGCTTAGAATATCTTGATGTCCTTCTTGTTCTTCCTGGACAGGGAGTTTTGGGGAGTTTTTTCGTACTACATAATGTGATATCTATTTCAGAGTTTTAAAAGTCTTAATACATTTAGTAAGTTGAACTTTTATCAAGTTTTATTAAAACTACTTGTTAAAACATTGAATTTCTGTCTAGCACATTTTTGATATGGGAATGATAATAATATAGTGCTAGATAAAATCTTTGAGTCCACAAAATCCAGTTAACAAATACTATGTAAACTTGAGCTATTGAGATTGCTAAAATAGATAGATCAGGTAAATGCATTAGTCTAACTTTTTAAAGATTTATTTCAGTTTTCACAAGATGCTCTCTGTCCATACCCTGATAACATGTAAAATATTATGTGCTATATTAGGTGATATTTAAAGTTGTTAAAATTCAAGTAATTTCTAATTTAATTGTAAAAAGTATTTTCAATTCTGATATGAGTCTATGGGAAACCTTTTTGCATGTAAGAACATCTCTATTTTGATTGTTTCAATGTGTCTAGGATTCTTCATCTCTTTATATGTTAGGAATTTTAGTCTCAGTGATGTCTAAAGCTTTGTTGAGTAAGGAAAACAGCCTTTTGGGGATAGAAAGTGAGTGATTCTTGCTGAACCTGACATTTCCAAGGGTTTTTATAGATGCCAACTAATTCTTATGGAAAATGCATATGATTATGCCATTATTAAAGATAGTTTGTGTAAAGTAATCCAAAATGTTTATTGAAGAACCTAGAATGTCATTTGACTTGTGTGCAACTATGTAACAAGGTAATGTCATTCTAGCGTGAATTGCTTTACTTGGGGTTTTCAGTAGATGTGTGAACTTCTTACTGTATTTGAAGTCTTGTGTGCATATATGCATATTTTGGGGAAGAGGTCACATGGTTTCTCGAAAGTTTCTCTGATTTTCCCCAGAAGTTGAGAACCATTGTTATAAATTATTTAACTTGAGAAGAATAACATAGTTTAGGACTCATGCTAATAAGTTTATGTGCTGAACCTCAATTAAAATATCTTCAAAGTGCTCATTTCCAAATCCTTGGTCTCTATTATCAATCAAAATACATGTCCAGGCTCTACTTCACACCTATGTAATCGGAATCTGCATTTTAACAGGCATTTAGGTGGTTCCCGGGCCTCCCTGAAGTTGGAGAACTGCAGTTATGTATCGTATTTCATAGGTTAACACCTCTACTTATGGTCAGGTAGACAAGTCCCTAAGTTTTTAAAAAGTAGTTCCTTGATTTTCTAAGGTGGATTTGCCCCAGTTTTGGTCACCATTTTGAGTAGAAAGGGATGACATTTATCTTAGCCTATTTTATGTAGATTTCCCCCTCCTTTCTTACATTTTGAAGATAAATGTTCAGTGTCACTTGTCAACACGAAACAGGATTAAATTTGAAATGAATCTGACAGATTTCCATCAGTATCTAATGTCATTACCTGATAGTAAACATCTGTACTTACTGGTACTTTTAGGGTGAATACAGTGCCATTTGAATGATGCAGTGTATTTAGTCTGTTCTCCCTTTAGGTCCTTATGATACAGTGATTTTAAGTTGTAGATTTTTGAGGATTGTTCCAATTACAAATATTTTTCTCACTGTTTTGTAAGTAGATTCCTGTTTTTCAGGCTGTCTTTCTTGACGTGGGGGAAGCGGTGTGTTGCCCTTTACTGCAAAGGTGGGGTGGGGTGGGGCTGTTGGACGGGACCTAGTTCTGTAGCTCTTTTTGGATATCGAAAGCACTCTTTCAGCCCATGGGAAATTACACTTTATGAACTCACTGTAAAGAAAAACCGATTACAATCAAAGTCTCTTTTTCTAAGAACTATCAAGATTCAGAAATATCATATTTGCCTAGTGTAGTTCAATCCCTAAAGTTAGAATTGGAATGGTAGAATAATAGGTCAGCTATTAAATATGCTTTTCCTTCTCAAATATCTCTATGACATATTCCTCCTCACATATCTCTCTGTGTGCAAAAGAAGAATGAAAAGAACGAATTCCAGTAAGCTTAGCTGTGATCAATGAGGAATGTGGTTTTGGTTCAGCTTTTTTAATTAAGAAGACTTATTAACCTCAGAGATGGGCTTTTGCAGTTAATAATAGATGTTCCCAACACTGCTCTAGTCTGATTGGAGGCACAAGACCCAATGGCTTAGTAGACTGCATTAAAAACACAACTAGGGCTGTCTTGATTGCTTTAGGTGTTGTATGGCCTGATGGTACAAGGGACTAGAATCTCTTCCGTGAGTGTCACAGGCTTGCTTTGCAAAGCAAATTGCTTTCTGGTGGAGAAGCCATCAAGGTACTTCTGAGTGCTCAGTGTTTACGATGCATGGCACTATCACTGTCACAGTGGCACAGTGTGCAGGATACACCCGAAGAAAATTTAGGCCACATGTTTTTTGTTAACTGAGTCGTGTTAAATGAGAAAAATGGACTATTTGCTGACTAGGAAGTCATTAGCAGTTGACAGCTTCTAACCCAAATAGATATGTAAAGACTAAATTGATATGTTTTCTAAGTGAAATTGTTCCAGTTCTTTGACTTTTTGTACTCTTAATAGAAGTAATGCTATTATAAACACATAGATGCTCTTATACTCTCCTCTCCCCCTTCCTCCCAAAACAAGGACAAAACTCAAGATATATTCTCTTGCATATGTCAGGATATAAAGAAGTTAGTCGAAAATTTGAATTTTGTTGAATTGCTCAATTTAAATTCAATTTCTGAATAACTTTGGGACAAATATTTATTCTCTTTTGGTTTACAGAGTTTTTAAGGATTCTATAAAAGGCTAATGGATTTCCCAAAGGAGGGGAAACCCAACCTTAAGGTTCACACTAGCTTCCTTCACATCCTGTTAACAGTGTTTTCCAAACTAGCCTTATAACTCTGTATGGTATGACTTGTCCCAGAGTTGTGTGGATTGGTGAGGATAGAGGGGGAAAGAATCCCTCTCATTGACATTTCATACCTAAGAAGAATGACAAGAGAAACCCTAGCTTCGTAAACTACAGCTTACAAGCTGGGTGGGTTAGCCTTGACAGAGGCACAGCTTTTCTTAGGGAAGGAATTCGAGGATTGAAAATGCATAAGCTGATGCCCAGCAGATTGAATTCAGACGGCAGAATCCTGGAGTCATCACTCAGCCTCAGCCGAATCCTTCCTAATCTGTTCCCTTGGTCCTAACAGGACTACAACTGAATCATTCCAGTCATGGGAATCCACATCACCTCCCTCTTTTTTAAGCACCTGTAGGAAGATCCTTTACCACAGAAATTCTCGGGTTTTTTTTTTTTTTGGTCACTGTCTAAATTTGATTTTGCAGTGTTTTTGAAATGTCTAGGTTGGTGAGTTTTCCATATCTCTCTTCAACTGTATAGTTCAGAAGTAGACATAAAGAGGTGAGTTTAGAAGAGTGGGAATTGATTCTGTGAGAAGGTGCAAACAGTTGTGAGCATTTTATTTCACAGCTTCACAGTGTGGAGTGAATCCATGAGAAGCCTGGCCTTCATCTAGGGGATCCCTCTTATTTTAATCTCTTTCCTAAGTTTGCTAGGTTTTTCTTAAGGACTCGCACATTGTCTGAGAGCATCACTATGGATTTTTTTAAATGTTATATGATCTTTGTTAAACTAGCTTTTAAAAACCATAGAAATTTTTCATGCCTTATTTTTCTTCTTATTTATCTGCTATCACGGACTTAAAGTTTCTTGGTTACAATTTAGAGTTTCTTACCTATGTAAACACAAATACTGAGTTGTGTTAATAGGGGGTATTTCTGGATAAATAACACAACTTGCTTGAGATGTTTGTTTCCTTAAGGAGTTCAAGATGGCTTGGCTGGGGTGTGGATGCTTTGATCACCTTATAAAGTGCTCTATGTTCTTGCCACAGCCATGGAGTTTAAGCTCTGGGAGTCAGATGTCAGAAAAATTCAGTCAGACTGAATTGTTCATACTACAAAATGTCCACTGTACTTATGAATGTGAAACAGAAGGGTTAAACTATTTGAGTAAAAGCACAGGTTTTAGAGTCAGTCATGGACGTGAGACCTGGCAAGGTTGTCTTTTAGTTTTGTGACCATAATGGTCACAAACCCTGAGCCCTCGGTTTCTCTCCTGTAGGTGGGGGTAATACCTACCCCAGTTGTGAGGAGTAAATGGAGTACATATAAAATGTTTAATATGGTGCCTGGCATGATTAAGCATTAATAAATGCTCTCATTATTATCTGATGGCCACTAAATAGATACTGGCACAGGCCGCCTCTTTTAATCTTACAGCTCTGTGGTTCATTTTTCCTCCCAAAATGTACTATCCTACAGGAACAGCCTTGGGGCACCATTTGTTTTGTTTCCTGTTGACTGAGGCCTTTTTTATTTTGAATCTGAACTGTGTATTCTGGTTTCACCTGAGCCACTGCCTCACTGACCCCAAAGTAAATCGCTGTCCCCTTTGTGCTTGCGGTGCTGTCCTCTTCAAATTGGGCTTAAATTTGCTTGCCTTTTATCAAGCTCTCTTTATGAAAGTTGTAAAAATATAATGAGAACACAAGTGTAAGCTGTCTCACATTTTGCTTATTAATGAAGTCTGATCATTCTTAAGTCAACCCTCTTGGTCAGTATAACAAATAATCAAAGAAATTTAAAACAAACACATGACATGTCTGCATTAAGCATTTTTAGCAATATGGTAAATTATAGTGTCTATTTGACAATCAACAAACGTTTTATCAGGGAACAAACTGATGCCTAAGGTTGTGGGTAGCTGTTTTTGGTTATTTTTCAACATTAGGTCAGTTCAGTCAGACTTTTATACCAAATCATCCTTAGTGACTTAATTTCTGATTATATTGTCTAGAAGTCTGGCTGGTTGACACAACCTCCTTGCAAAGTTTAAATCTTCCTTTATCTTTGTTTATACTTTTTTTCCCTCAAAATGATAGTTTCTGTAGTATTTAGGGGTACTCAACAGGAATAAGTACATTTCCATTGTGTCATAAACACATTGATCTGATGTAATATGAGTGGAAGTGGAGGCCACTTGGGTATGGTAGAGTTTGAAAATTTTCTTCATGTGAGCACAAGTGTATTTCTCATATAGACTCGCATGACTAATATCAATTTTATGAAGACTTTTCATTCCAAGTTAGAGTAGGATTTTATAAGGTCTCAGATGAACCTCTGACTTTTTTTTTTTTCCATACTGCTGCCTTATTATTTTAAAAATCCATTTGTAAATATTTAAAGTACCAGGATAATGGCTACTTTATTAACCATGTTCATGACGTTGATTTGTGAATACCTCGAAACGAAAATGGTGTTGTATAGGGGCCTGCTTGAGTTTCCTGAAAGTTAGTCATGGCAGGCTTATTTCATTTCCTTTTATTGATAAATTACTACTAAATCAAGGAAATACGTTAGACATGGTATAAATTTGTTTTGGTATGGTATTCATGTGCCTAAGTTGCAGGAATTAGAAGTGGATGATGGTAATAGTGAACAATTCCTGCCATGGAATTTACCCTGTAAGCTCTGGGAGTCAAATGTAGAATGGAATCTGACAGAACTGACTGCTAGGTTGGTTTTGTGCTGTCAAGTTCAGTCTTGTCTTTTGCTTTATTCAACATGAGTTTAAGCATAGAAAGTATACGTATCAAATTTGCTTTGACACAAACTTGATAGGCTGGAATGATGGCTTAACATCAAAATGACAACTTACTTAAGGGAAAGAGATCAGACTTTGTTGATTCACAGTCTCAAAATAATCATTACTGATTCTCTTTCAAATGTCTCCATACTTACACGTCCCATATCTGTCCTTTAATAACTTCACACCTGTTTTCTCCATTCACTTTGGGGAGTGGCCAGGAAAATTCTTTCTTCCTTTCAGTTTATTTATTTCCTTTTATCTTTTCCCCCAAACACATTTCTTTGCATCTCTGAATAACATTGAATTCTCAGTTGGCTTTTTATTTGGCCAGAGTGATGGGAGTGAGTGGTGGGGGAGGGAGGAGTA